AATTCCCATCTGTCGTGCACATCACTCACTCTCGTCTCGCCGATGACCGATTCAGTACTTAAACCTATCACACCTGTATGTGCCAAAACCTTGCTTGCAATTGCAACCACCATACAACGACACCCCCTCAACCTCTCGATCCCGTCCGATCACCAAGGCGGCAATAACCCTGCTTCTTATTATCCTCAATCGTCGTCAAAATCATGGTCACACTAGGTCACAAATGCAAACTGCATGCCTGACCGTTTAAGTCTGGACCGTTGACCGTTGCACAATCACAATTTAAACAACCCCATCCACTCAAAACTAGGTATTCACATCTCGAGAGTGAATGAATCAGTCAGTGATAGCTACTGCATAATGACGCGCGCGGCTTAACGATGGAGGGAGAGATATTCTGGAACATCATCTCGAGCTTTCATCGCCGCCTTGATGAGAAGGCATCTTGCTTGTTTTCTTTCTACTCAGTCTAAGAGGTTGATTTCTGATTCTAAATTTAGAGACATGTAACTCTTCTCAGATCATCCCTCCTTCCCGGCGCTTGCGATTAGATTGCTTACTGAAACATCCACCCATCCCATCCATCCACCCATCGCTGTGCCGCGCCGTTTCTCTCTTGCGTCATGTCAGTCAGTCAGCAAAGGCAAGCACAAAGGCAAAGCGAAAGAAAAAAACAATTTTAGGGTTGTTGCGCAAAGCCTCCCAGGAACCCAGGAACACACAGAGCCTTCGTCTGAACATTTCGCAGCCTCAATCTTATTTTCGTCAGACCATAAGCTTCTATGATAAGATCCCACGCCCTGGTTAACGTTCGTTAGGGCATAACGGTACGGTACCGTACCTAGTAGGGTAGATTGTGGCCCGTTCGCTCGTGAGGCTCGTTTCGTTAGGTTGCGAAGGTGGCTCCTTCGGTCCCACAAACATAGCCCTTAGCTCCCGCCGCCTGCTGACCACGAGGGACGGGAGATCTCTCTCTCTCTCTCTAGGATGTTTCGTTTCGTTTCGTTTCACATAGCATGCTTTACTCTCCGTGATGACTAGTAGCAAGACACGGCAAATATGTTGATTTTTTTTTTTCTTTCTCGCTTTCATGTGATGTGTGCCAACTACTGCCAGGGGGAGGTGGAGGAGACTTTAGACATCTGCCATCTGAACTTTGTGGGTGTCGAACAAAAACCAACATTCTGTTGGAAATATCCCCAGGGTTTCCAACAAAAACCACCAACAGGGAGAGAATTGTGACTCTTATGATCATGAAGCTACTCACTCACATACACACTCTAGTGAAGCACATACTTTACATGCCATACCCTACCTACATACTCGGTGCCAATCCTGCAGGAATGTATGTACGCACATCCCGTAATCCCCGTCCCACAAGCCAAGTCAAGAAGTCCATGATTTTATTCCCTCGTCACTCAAGCAAGCCCAACAAAAAAATATTAACGGAACCGGGTAACAAACACGCGCCACAAGATAAGAAAAAAAGAGCCCTGTCAAATAATTTGGTGACTTGAGTTCTGAGTGCCCTGCACGCTTTATCATGATTTTACCCATGATCCGCCCGGTCGCGTGCGGGCCGAACAAGGCCTTACCTGCGTTCCTGCCTGCCCGAGTCCACTCGACGCTCTCGCGAACTCGCACAGGTGAGCGGGTAAGTGACCAACAACTTAAAAGCTCTCTTCTTCCAGAAGGGTCCCAATTGGTCATTGACCTCCACAACTAACTAAACTCTGACTGCATAAAATGCGGTTAGACCAACAGGAAAACCCCTCTTCCGCATTCGCATTTCTTTCCCCAAAGGTTGTAAAACCTCATTTTCTCCACCTCAATTTTCAGGGCTGGCCATGGGTCTCACTGACTCTCACACAGATATGTGTGTAACTTTTTTTATTTTATTTTTTTTGTAGGTGGCTTGTCGGGGAAACAAGTTTGTTCATCCTACGGCTCCGGGGGGTTGGTGAGACAGAACAAAGGAGGAGGTGGAAGAGGGAAGGGAAAAACTTCTGCGCCGGCCGGCAGGCTGGTTGAATTGCAAAAAAACCTCAACCTCAGGATCGGCGGCGGATCCGGAAGCTGGAAGCTCTCAGGAACTGAACTGAAAACTCAGCTCTTTTTTTTTTTTTTTGACCACAGTGAATCGCCTTACCTAGGTACATATCAATCATTACGGGTACGGAATTTTTATTTTTTTTTCCTTGCAGCCGCAAAAATAGGCGGGCTGAGTAGTAGAATTATCATCTAGTGTTCTACAATTGAAATTTGATGTAAGTATGTGTATGTAGGCGGTAAGACCTACATACATGAATTACGAGCAGAGTGAGCAGAGAACGGTACCTCCAGCCCAGGTCTTGAAATTGTCTCTCCGTGACGAGACGAAACATATCCGCTCTCTCCCTCCGGTGTGTGGGAAACAGCCTCCCTCCCTTCCTACCTGCCTGCTTGCCTGCATAATGAAAATAAGGTGGTTAGATATCAAAGGCACCCACCTATGACCTACCTGCTCATACTCTACGTCCCTACGTATGTACCTCTTCCCCAATTGAAAGGTTCCCTCGCATCGCAATCCCCAGGCCCATCATAATACCGCACAATTGGGCTGGTATCCAATCCAATACGGAACCCTTCGGCACGTGCCTGCACTGCCGCTGGGCAGACAGGTTTGCTTGTGGTGAGGGGGTGGGTGGTGGAGGAGATTGAGAATAAAGGAGGGGTAGAAGCATGGTGCGATACAATGCCATACTCTTCGGGGGGGGATGGGGACCCTAACCCAGGTTCACCGAGTGAGCGCGCGCGCCTGCTGCGATCATGATACTCTGCTATGTACATAGCTAGAGCATCTACAGTATTAGCTAGCTCCGCCATGAGGCATAAGCATAAGCATGAAGAGGAGGGGTAATGAATTATTTGGAACATCGCCGCAGGTAGCGAGGCGAAACAGATCTAGAAGAGAGATCTCTATCTATCCAAGCTCCGTTTCGCTCGTCCGCCCTCTCCGTCCCCGCATTGAATGATCATGGAGCTTGATCAAGACTCGAGAACGTGACCTCTAATCTTAGTACTAGTTAGCCAAATTAGTTGCTTTACCAACAATTAATAACAGGACATGCTTGAAGCGAGGGCGGGGCTACTTGCTACTAGAACTAATAATTGATGCAAACTCCCCTCCTGTGACGCAATGTAAGGGTTCCACGTTTGCATTTCCATTTACATTTCCCTATTTTCGTTTTGGGGAGGGAGGAGGACGTACAGGTGCTCTCCCACTCTCACTCTTCTGCGCGTCTAAGGGATGGTTGGTTCTTGCGCTGTGGGGCGGGGTCTACCTACATACATACATGCAGGTGGAAGGTTATGAGGCTCCAACACAGTCCATGATTGGTAGCGGGGACGATCTTGGTCTCGGTCCTAAAATACAAATGGGAAAGAAGAAAAAAAAACAAGCAACTAGAGTAACGAGTAGCTATCGCGAATAAATGTCATCCAAAGAAAAAGGTCTGCAGGAAAAGGGAGGCTTCATGAACGCGCGCGCGCAGGATAGACTTTGAGGGGTGCAAATGTCATGTTGGACGGAGAGATTGCCGCATATCAGTGCTGGATGGTTTGTTCGTTAACCGAAACCTACGATGCTTCACATTGATTTTCAGGTCAATCAATCATCGGCCTGCCATACAGCAAGCAGCATATCTATATATCTATCGACATCCGTCTTTACAGCACATAGATATAGATAAGTACTCTACAAGGTTATATGAATGGAAGATGAAGGTCGCCAGCGAATGTTTTTTTTTTTTTTTTTTTATATAGCAGCAGATAAACGTTAAGCAAAGGAGAGAAAAAGGAAATAAATAAATCTCGAAATCAATAACTTCTTTCAAAACATGATCCATTACAAGTACAGTCTTTCTCTGTCGAAACTTTTCCGTGAAATCAAAAACATCTGTTGTTACAATAATTCTCAAATATTAAGCCCTTAGACCAACCAACCCCGCCTCAAGACGTCAAGGCGTCAAGGATTCCCAAGCCCAGAAAAAAACACCCCCGACCACGCGATCTCAGAGATTCAAACAAAGATGGAGCAGGGATTTTTTGTGTGTGTTCAGTGTGCTGACGATGACGATGAACGATGATGTGTGCATGCATGCAGGAAGGGTTTCCATGACATGAGGAGGGGTAGAAGAATGAGGGGAGAATGAATGGAGCGCGCGAACTTGCAAAATAAAACAAAAGAGAATCGTATTATGACAAAAGAAATAAAGCGTATAACCAGTCACAATATTCTGACAAGCCTGTCAAAACTTGAAGGTCCGAAAATAATCCTCCACCGTACCCCGCGATAATTCACTCATCTCGCCACTGCGTACGTCGACCATCTTCGACTCCTTCTCCAACCCAAAAACAAAAAACAAAACTACAAGTGGTATCTTCGCAAATAAAAATCAAAAAATAGAAAACTAATCCCCCTCCCCCAAAACCAACCAATATATAATAAACCCTAAAGTTTCAAAGCATGCCAGAAGATTCAAGGACCCCCTTGTATGCAGATAACTTTTCCAGAAAGAAAGGAATAATAGAAAGAAAATGAAAACCAATGAACAGGACCAAAAATATTCCCAATGAAGAAAAGAACCCGATAACTTTTCCCAATACATAAAAGATAAAGATAAAAAAACCCCATCACGAAAACAAAAAGTTCCCCGCCCACCAACCCACCCGTGTAAGTAGGAAACTAATAATACAGCCGATTGCTTTTGTGGAAATGCTCCCAGCCCATGAAAACCAAAATGAAAGAAACTTACATAGACCAGAATAGTGATTAAAACATAAGAGTCACAAAGGTAAGTATAAAAAAGAAGAGGGTATCGAAAGTGGGTATTAAAAATGAAAAAAAAGTTGAATAGGAAATAACGCCTCAAATATCTAAATGTTTAACTGGTCCAAAAACTTTTTGTTCAATTCCAGTGAAAAGAACGCCGTGAAAACTTTTGGTTGCTGATTTCCACCTAAGCGTTGGGACTTCGCAGGATGTCCTCGCAGTTGACCTCGAACCTCTGACACCAAGTGGCCATGCCCCTCATGAGTCTCTCCGTCCTCTCCCATTCCTTCTCGCCGTTGAACATCGCGTCAACAAACTCAGCTCCAGACCTCTTTCCCATCTGGACAGCTGGCTTGTCTTGAGGGCCTGGCGAAGCGACACCTCGGGCGCCCCTCCACATGTAATCCTCGCAATTCCTCAACAAAGACTTCAACTTCTGCCAAAGCCTCTCTCCACTCTCCATGAAGTCGTCCAAGATCTCTCTGTTCTCTGGTGCCTTGATGCACCCAAAGAATTCCCTAGCACGCTTCAACTTGGAGCTCAGCTCAGTGAGAAGCTCCCACAATCCACCAGCAGTCTTTGTGGCGTCGTGGGTCTTTCCATGGTGGTACTTGGTCCAGTTGAAGATCCACTCTCCCAGAGAGTTGGCATCAAAAACTGATCCCAAGAGGATGATTGGTCGTTCCTCTGGGTCCCAGTTCTTCAAAGAGTAGTCTAGAGGAATTCCATGCTCTACAGCCTTGCGTCTAACCGCCTCAGCATCGGTGGTAGCTGGCTCGGTCTGAGATCTGGTGAACTTGGGCTTTGATTGCTGTGGCGGGGAGCGGGGGGTGGGTTCGCCGGCTTGCCAAGTCGCTTGACGCCTGGTGGTCCTTGACCTTCTACCATCCGAATCGCGGGTGGGGGGGGGTGATTGAGGGCCAGGGGTGTATGATTGCTGGGGAAACTGTGAACGGGGAGGGTAAGAGTCAGTGACGGTCCTGGAGGAAGAGTAGATATAGTAGGACCGCGGACGCCGGCGTCCCGACTTGCTATGCCGTGCCCGATGGCGGCTAGAACTACCACCACGATAATCTTCTGAGGGGAAGGAGGAGGAACTCACGTATTCGGCTTGCTGAGCCGTGAAGCCCGGTACGTAGGAGTAGATATGCGGCATTGTACCACTGCCACTGCTGTGGTGGGCATGTGCGGATGGTGGTGGAGTGTGGAGAGGAGTCGGGTTCATGTATGCGGGTCTGTGACCTGCACCTGGACGAGGAGAGGAAGTACTCGCGTGGTACTGTTCATGGGGGAATTCACTATGTTCATGGCCACTCCTTCGGGAAGAAGAAGGACGTTTGTGGTGAACATATTCTGCCGAAGCTCCTCCATTGAAATCTTGAGTCCTGCGTCTGGAGGCACTCGGAGTTCTTGGGGATGGGGCAGGGGTGGGGATAGAGGCGCCGAAGCCACCTTCGTAGAAGTTCGCGCGGGGAGGCATTCCACCTGGTGGGGGGCTTGTGTAGCCGCCGTATCCTGGAGGATAGAATGGACTAGAGTAGGCGGGATGCTGCTCGAATTGCATTATGTGATTTTTGGTGTTTTGATTGTAATGGTAAAATACGTTTCGATTTATTGATCAAAACGTAGAGAGATAAGTAGTTACGATAGATCTGTGATTCGTAACTCTAGCATGTAAGTATGGGGGGAGAATAAGGTTGTGGGTGATGGTTGATAAATATTGTTGTGATTTTTTCTTCTTTTTTGGTAGGGAAAAAACGACAAGCGAAGTTTCTCTAGATGTAGTAAAAATCAATCTTTTTGAGAGGAGTGCTAACTGTCACTCAAAGGTGAACCTAGGGATGCACAATGATAAGGAATGGGGATCTCGAGAGTGAGCAGAAAGAAGAAGTGGAAAGAGAAGGGCGTGGATGCAGGCGGGGGTATTATACTCTACCCTCTCTCCAAATTCATCCACACACCACACTAGCCTAGACCAGAGAAGCAACTCTTTCTCACTACTGACACAGCAGCATCCACACCAAAGAGAGTGCAGTATCCCCCTCATCCTCGTCTATGTACTATCAACCACACACAAGCGACCGAGGGCATATGTGACTCTACCAGAGAAATTTCGCAATACTATGCAAGTCAGGTTATCCCTACCCTACCCTCCCCAAATAACTTAGGTCCCACACCTACATTAGGTCCCACCAACCAGTCTTTTCTTCACAGAACAAGGAACACGGTTGCGAGTGCGACTTGCGACCGTGCGTGTCTTGAGGCTATGCACCTACTCAGGTCAAGGACTTCGCGATGTACTCAAGTTACGCCGCCATTCGTCGTTCAGGCGTTCAAGGAAGAAAGAGAAGAGTGAGGTAAGGTGAGAACAAAACCTCTGTACGCCAGTGGAGCTTTCTAAATAGCCATCACCTAGGTACTTTATGCAACGGCGCACACAGCAGCAGCATCAAGAAAGAAACTCGTTTACGCAGGTGCATTCACACATAACGAGTGCAACGTGCCACCCCAAAAAATAAAACAAAAAAAATATACATCCCTAACTCATACTCATCTCTCTTCTTTGCTGAGCATCTCCCCTGGAATTCGGAACTACTCAACCGTTTCTGCCCTTTTTTTCCTTTCCTTTAAACCCAAACCTATAGCGCTCGGCCATTGAAATGCAAATTAATCGGTGTTTCCCCGACGGCGGTACGGTATGGATGAAGCAAGGGGATCGATTGAGAGAGAATACATACAAGGAATAAAAAAAATAAAAATTGAAGGCGTTGTCTTACACACGCAACGCAAGTCCGTCACGTCCTGATTACAACAAGCGACTCCAACCAAGTAGCTTCAGTTCGCCATCAACTGGGTTTCGTTTGTCAGCTTCGTCTACATCCTACTACTACCTACTAGTACTACGATGATGTAGAGTACCTACATGTACCTACATAAGCGCAGTGCGTCTCGCTCGTTCGCTCGTTCGCCGCTGCCAGCTGCTGCTACATATGATAGTCTATTGTTCAGCACGGTTCAATGGTACCAACTGTAGCTTTCCAGCACTCTCCAGCTTTTCCTGTTCTCTTCTCGGCGATACGCGTCTGTATCTATCCAACTAAACCCCCCAACATACGGCTTTCACTTTCACCTTAGAGCTGGAGATGGACGGGAACCAGCTCCATTATCCTCCACCCTCCCCCAACTTCAAACAAGTGGCCGGGATATTGAGAAATGAACTAATTTTAAATGGGTTGAAAAATTTATCTAAACAGGGGGTTGATCAACTCCCCCCTTTGGTGCCCTAGTGCTTTTTTTTCACTCTGGAAACAAGGAGCGACGGTGACACAGCTCCCGCCATGGCAATTGGCCGTTGCAGAAACAAAAGGGAGCTTCCGTGCGCGCGCCGCAAAAATATTGACGAGGCCCACCGGTCCTGCCCCTTTTCCAGACGATCGGGTCCGGAAATTTGAGACTCGTTCTCAACAAAGTTTACAGAGGTTGAAACCGACTTCCCCCGAAAGTTACCTCGTTTATCAATTGATGAGTAACTTATTGTCTTCGGTTCTCTCTTTACTAGATACAGATAAATGATTGCAACTCAACCAATCCCAGGCAGTAGTAATCTGGAAGAAGGGAATGGTGTCCCTTGTGAGCCGGTCCCGTCGCAAACTACAGGTCCTGTTTGATATGTTTAATTTTTCACCACCACCATCACCCGGCGCTCTCACAGGCGCCGAAGTGTGATGTGACCCGATACACAGATCTTCAGGGCAGATAGCTCAGCTCTACCTACTCTACTCTCGAGTAGTAAATAATAATATTCCTCCTCTTCGGCTTCTTCTTTCACACCCTCTCCTCAATATTTATCTCCCATCCATCCCTTAGTGACTGCTAAAATAAATAGGTGAAAGTTTTTTCTTTCTTTCCCTCGTGTTGCATCACCAGTTTGAGTGATTTTTATTTCGAGCGTGTGTTCCATTTTTTTTTGTGATCATCGCGATTCATCCTGGGACCAAGGATGGGGGTTGCTTTACCACAAGATGGGGTGCGAAAAAATAGTTCCGCTATGATCGCCTCTGAGAATTTTGGGAATCTCGGCATTTTCTTTTTTTGCCATACCCACTCTTGTTTCGAGAAAGAGAGTAACGTAGCAGAGCCGATCGGTACATATGTACGGCCCCGCCGGTCATTCGGGCTTTCAATCGGTCGGGGTGCGAAATGCACCAAGACGTAGGTGTGCCGCCGAACAATGGGAACCTGTTCACAATGACGATGTATGCATTGTGTTGTGTAAGGCGGGGGGATGATCCTCTACGTGAGCTGTCGCCCGGCTTGCCTTTTCGAAATGGAGATTCTGATTTGACAGTTTCTCCTCCTCCTTCCTCTCCATCTGCGGCTAGCGACGCACGCTTCTGTCACCCAATTTGATTGATGGCTGCCGCTGCTGCTGCGCTGCTGCCGCGGATATGTACGATATGGGGAGGTTTTAAATATTCGCCCATACCTTTCTTTGGATGTGAGGGTGCGAATTGGTGATTGGGCCATCCAGGTGTAAAAGATGTCTGCCAGAAGAAGATATGGAGGGATGATACTTTTTGTCAACTGTACCAGTGGTCGGGCTGGATTCGGGGGGTTACCAGCTTTGAGATACCGCGGGGGGAGATTGGAAGCGAAATGCGGTAGTCTGCTGGGTGCATGATCGTGGTAGTGGTGGTGGGCGATTGATGTTGGGGAAAAGTAGAGTAGAGTATGGGGGAGAGTAAGTGATGGTGATGATGGGTGAGTGACTGCGGATGAGTGAGTGAGTGATCGTGAGCGTCGAGTATGTGCAACCTCAGAACAACCTCTTCTTCCCCCAACGCCTTTCCCACCCCCTGCCATCGATAGCATAACGAGTGCCCACAGACATACGGACTGTGCGTATCATTGAGACCTGTTCCACCCCCAGCCCAGTGCGAGTGATATCTATGCTTCCTCATGCATACTCTCTACATACATCGCAAGTTCGCAACTGCGACACCAGATTTGAAAGCAACCAGAAAGGAAAAAAAGCTGAGGCCATCCCTCCTTGTCCGCAAAGAGACACAGTGCCCGTGACCAGAAGATTCTGGAACACTGAACAGAACAGCGCGTCACCGAAAAGGTCCGTGATCTCAACTCCCCAATGTATGTACCTACCATATACTTCTCAGCCTTGTTGGGAGGTACCTAATCTAATCTGCGTGAGTAGAGTGCTACCTGCATGAAGTACTCGGCCCTATGGGAATCGATACCCAGAAACGGCTGCAAACCATCCTCAACCTCTTGGTCATGATGTATGATGTCGCCAGCTACATAGCTACATGTAGCTACCACCACCACAGCAAATAAACGGCGACAATTAAAACCGCAATCATCATCATCACTTCCTCATAGCCACACCAGAAATAGTCATCTACTATTACTAACACCGCTCAAAGCCTCCCTCCATCTAGTAATTTCTCGCACCGTCTCTCTTCTGAACAAAGTATTTAAAATCATCACTCACACCCACACCGGTACTACGTGTTGCGTTATTGTGCGTTGTCCACACAACGCCCCCAGCCAGCCAGGGAGAGAGGGGGGGTGGTTTGGTTGGTTTCAATCAATCAATCAAAACCCACCAGTATGGTATGGTCTGGTCTACGGTGAGAGCGAGCAAGAAAAAAAACCAGTGAAAAAAAAAAGAGGGGGTGAATGAGCGCTCTACTATTGGTCCGGTCACAGACCCTGGAAAACACATGTACACGGCGCTGCAGAGAGTCAGAAGTACTTACATGGAGAGAGGTATCCACTCACTCACCTTCACTCATGCTCTACGCGCTGACGTGTTTACTATCATGCTATGAAGAGGGGTCCGCAAATCAGGATCGAAAGTTTCGATTGAAGCCTGACGCCTGAGGAGAAGGTTAGGTAGCGAATTCAGCATTTCACGAAACGGCTGTTGGGTTGCTAGACCGGATGGGGGTGTGTGCTGTTGGACTCCCCATGATGACTCATTTGTCACACTAAGGGGCTTGCACGTGACAAAGCTTATCTCGATTGCTAAGCGAGACTGACGAATGACGCGCTCTCGCGTGTTACCCGGACGTCTTGGGGGTTCAATGATAAACGACTCTCTGCGCTCCCATTCATCCATCTACTCTCTCACACACACACTCACGCACGCACACCCCGGTCCCCACAACAACCGAGTTGACGAGCACGTGCAAATTGGCAAATATCGCAAAAGTCTTTGATATATCACAAGGAAACGCATAGAGGGAGGCAAAACAGAGTAAAGAGGAGGGCAGTGTCATTTCTGCTTTTGGCACTGGCGAAAAAATGAGTCAAGCCCGGGCCGAGGAAACAAATTCAACTGTTTACAAACGACGCGCAATTCAAATTCAATCCGACTACTTGGGATTGGACAGTTTCTTGTTAATTCGAGAGGGCATCGCCGATCGAAATGAAAATGAACAATCTAGTCTCGCAATCCTCACTTCGCTTCGCTTCCCGGCGCGCGCACCCCCTGACTGCAAGTGACTAAACCTGACTGACTGACGGACTGGACTGGGGTCTGACTGAACGAAGAGACTGACTGAGACTGAGACTGAGCGCACATGCTTCTTCCCTGGTTGCCGGTTTCTTGGTACTTCTGGTTTGCCCGTTTATTTGCCTTCTTCTTCCCCTTCTGCTTATTCCCCTACCCCACACACCCCTAAAATAAAACATGAGCACCCAGTTTCATACACATGCTGCATACCTCCAATCGCGAGGACTTTCTCCCCCCCCCCCCCCAGCCCCTGAAACGGTGGCAATCCCGACGTCATCCACAGCCCAACCAGCCCTTCTCACGGACGTCGGTGCGCAGCAGCACGATACGATACGGTCCTGCAGGCAGAGATAGATGTAGGGCATATTTGTAGGTAGGGCTAAGCTAGCTAGCTAGAATCTATAGAAAAAGTATCATACCGAGACCGAGGCAACCCAGGATAAGGATGAGGATGATGATGAGGCAGGCAAGGCAAGGCAAAGCAAAGCAAAGGCAGGCAGAGCAAAAGCAGGTCCGGGAGTTGAGCAGGGATGGCCGATGCTGGCTGCAAGGGACGCGGCGTCGCGGAAATCCCGGGTCATGTGATGGTGATGGATGCTGCTTGCTGTCTGTGAGTCTAGCTGTGACTATTGCGACATAACACTCTTCATACACCCCCCCCCTCCCCGCCACCAGATAGATAGATAGGGGTGGCGGACTTGCACTTGGACTCGGACTTTGACTCGCTTGTGGTGGTGGCTTCGTGAGTACTTACCACTGCGCGCTCGTGATAGGTATCGTAGAAGCTGCCGACCTTTATTTGGTTTGTGGATGGTAGGGTGGGAGGTACGGTCTAGCGTACCCAGCTAGGGTAGGATATAGCTCATCGGAAACCACGCATCCTGATTGGACGTGACCCGCATACAGTCACTCCGAGGAGGGTTGTTACGAAGACATGACAGGGCGGTGTTTTTTTTTTGGCTGGGCTGCAAAATCGACGGCCGTGAGAATGGGTGCTGGACGATACGATACGATACGATACGAGTCAGGCTGTGAATGGTTTGCTTTTTTTGTTCACTTTTTTTGTTGAGTTTGTCGATTGGAGAGCGAGAGAGAAAAAGTTTAAAATTGGATACAGCAGAGTAGAGTACATACATGGCTCTGCGCTGCGCTGCGTGGATGCTCTATTCTAGATCTACGGATGACGTCGTGGGGGCCGGAGGGCGAGAGCGAGAGCGAGGGCGAGGGTTAGCTAGCTGGAAAAGCAGGTACAGTAAGTAGAGTACCTATGTAGAGCACCGTATATACCGTACCCACTGTACAGTCCAGCCGGCGCGGCCGCGCGCGGTGCTCTATCGCCCCTGTCTTGTCTAGGAATCATATCATAATCATCTTGATACCTTATCGGTTTCCAGAACCCCCCCCCCAATCTCCCGCGACTTAATCACGAGTAATGCATCGCAGTCTACACCTACCCTACTCGTGGAAGGTAAGGGTGGATGGACATAACAATCGAGTCATAGTCCGCCGGCGCTGGCGCCCAAAGCTCCCTTCCCCTCCGACTGGACGTGGGTGTTTCTTTACTCTACTTTCGCTTAGGAGATAGCATAGACATCACACGTAGAGTAAAGAGTACCTAACCAGGTGCCCGGGCCGGGGGTCGCGCGCGCGGGGAAGAAGAGGTTGTGTCCCTCATCCTCATCCTCATCCTCATCCTCATCGGCCTGTTGCGCGCATGGAGAGTAGAGTACCTACTGCGCTAGTGTCATGAGATCGCACTCGGCTCGTTTGTTGTCAAGTACAACCTACATACTAGGCACACGCAGGTACTCCACTCCACTCCACTCTACTCTAGGTAGCTATCGACTTGCGTGTCAGAGTGCTGTGTGCAGCACGTGGGGAAGATCCTTTGGTTCGCGTCCCTGTCAAGATAGTCTGGCGAACCTCCCTCAGTGTGTGGGGTTTCCTGATCATCTCGAGGGGGTGATGAGGTGGTGATCAGGAGGGAGTGAGTTAGCCAGTACCGCCAGGGTTAGGTGTGGTGCTTCAAGACTACGGGATGCGGTAACTGCAGAGAAGAGCACCGTTCAATCTAGAGCGCTCATGTGCTGTGACATGACATATGGGAGATATTAAGACAGTTGATGCAGCCCGCCAGGTACTCTAGCTAGCAAGAGGCTCCGTCCGAGCACAGCGACAGATGACTCTCTCTCTCTCTAATAGACTCTCTGTTTTCAGTTCACGTCTATCTGACGGTCTGTCTGTCTGTCAACTGGCTAGCTTAACGGTCTCTTGTCCGGCCGGCAAGCTCGGGATGACCCTAATTGTACACTGCACGCGGACTCCATATACTGAGAGCAGCAATTGCTACAATGATAATAATAGTAAGAGCAATTCTTTGTGATGGTCCGCTCCCGGTGTTTGTGTTATGCTTGACACGACTTGACCTGACTCTCCAGGTCCAGGGAAGTACCGAAACGTCAGTCTACATATCAACAACAACAACGATCTTTACATCACTCGGCCCGGTGAAGTGCGGTCGTTCGTCTCCTAGCAACCGTTGCCGTAGCAATTCCTGCGGGGATCCATGGCAGTTTGGAGAGGATCACTTCTTCTTGCTCTTCCAGGAACTTCGGGATCGCCAGTACTAAGCGTCTCTGGGACTAGAACGTGAGGGGGAAAGATGAAAGGTGAAAGGTGAGCGAGGTGATGATGCAGCCCCCCCAAGCCCATCCATATCTCCCGGCCGGGTCGTCGGTCTGTCGGCGGTGAGGAATGTATGCAACCTGCAAAACCAGAAAAAAATAAAAAAAGAATTAGACTTGATGGAGCACATATCTGCATACGTTGAACTGTTACATGGTCACGAAAAAAACTGCCGTCAGGATATATAAAAAAGAAAAACAACAACAAGATCCTAACTTTACTACCCCAACCCGGAGTGGGATTGACCGCTGCGATGCGATGTTCGGGCAAGGAAGAGCGACCAACTTTAGAATAGAGGAGTAGCAACCCCTCTCCTCTCCTCCTCATCCTCTCTCGTTCCTCCTCCGCGGCCGCGGTAAGTATTCTAATCGAGTCGGATCGGTTTGCCTGGTTTGTGGGGAACTGGACCATGATCTGCTGGAGGGGGTTCATGGAAACGGCCCGTTACGTGCATGTGTGTGTGGTTTGTTTCGGCCGGCCGGCCAAACCAAACGGAACAGAACCGATTATGGTTTTCGGATGTCATGCATTATGTTCCGTAAAGGATCAATGGCGTTCCATCCGTGATAAACAACAATTGTCAATCGATAACCATAGAGTAAAATGCTTCAGCTAGAAAAATTCATCATCATTGTCCATAGTTCCCCCCCCCCCCCTTTGAGCTGAGGAGCTCCTGAGAAGAAAAAACGCCTGTTCGTGCCTAACTATTGATTAATTGTATGTAATAGCTTCATACTCCCCTGAAAACTCCAGTTTACTCTAGATATATTGAGCTTCCGCTACAGATCTGTGGTCACTTACTATTCGCTGAGGACCACCGGCGACCATTCCCGCGACCATTCTCGCACTAGAGAACCCTACTACTCTCACTACTGGCCGCGGAAAAGAGCCATACCCGCTCCAAGGAAATTCTCCGTAGCTAGAGTTATCCGTCCAAAGTGCCGGCTAGTAATTGTTCCAGAAACTCAACCCCATTTCCGTAGGTACATAGCTGCAGTCTAATCCCACTACTTGGACCTACAATTGCACGGGTAGAGTAAGCACCATACTTGGCCGCCCCCAACCCAATATCAACCGACGCCCACGGGATCAAGCCACATCGCCATCGGGAGCATGCGGGTGTGTTAAACCCGTCCGCGCCGTTCAGAACTTAGCACTCGGTTTCACCGTTTTTTCCGACCCAACATAGGGCCACCTTGCGGCTCAACCATCATTGGCAAAATACATGTATGTACGTATGGGCCGGGGTAATGTATTGGGTCTGTTTCATGTGTTCACCGGGGTGTAGAGTACCGGACCTACTCTACAGTACACATGAAAAATGAGGCAGCCAGCTGGACAAGTGGGACAAGTGAGTTGTCAGGACTTGGGGGGCAGATTGAAGTGGCAGCCGTAGGTTCGTAGCTGGTTTCATGATTCGGGAACCCGAGTGACGTGGTGTGAACCAGGGGATCGGGGAGGAAGGCTGAGCGTGTTTATATATAGTTTTTGAAACTCGATGATGGGTATAACTGAGTGTAGAGTACGCACACTCATGATACCCCATAGCTTTGGTGGGGAAGAGAAAACAGTGCTCTAATTCATCAGATCTATCCATTGTAACTGTCTCATCGATCGAGGCGGCTACCTATGTCTGGGGGAGAGGAGACGAACAAATGATTAGCGCCTGATTCTGATCTTCTGCAGGCCCCCATCTTAAGGCAGGCTGCGTTGTAGATGCGCCTCGAGCCCTTCCTGGTTGCAGTTCGCATAAACCTTTGTTCTCCGACTTGATCTAGCCTTCGGCATTTAGAGCATTATGTACTTATGCAGATCTTGTCCCGGCAGAGTTAGCGGGATATACATAAAACATATCGTCTCTAAAGCAGGCTACAGCTATCTTCGTTGGTATCTTAGTCGTGATAGTAGTTTCCCAGAGTCGAGTGATATATCATGAATATTTTGCCATCTGGATAGCGGATTTTCAAAGTGGCAACCTGGCCTCAAAATGGCCCATGTATTTAATTTGATGACTGCCAAAATTAAAATTAATTACTACGAGGGAAGAGAGAGGGGAATGTTCAGAATATAGGGCGGTGAGAATTAAAGACTTCGCACGAGCTAGCAAGGCGTATAGTAGCGTAGTTTTGCGGTGAGAATAAGCTCTTACGGCAAATAATATATCGTTGCCAGCAAGATAGCTAAAATCTCGTGATTAGAGGGCCTCGTTCGAGCTCCCGCTGCACACAGTCAGCAAGAACAGGGGAGGGGAAGGGAGGGAATAACAAGCTTACTAACTAACCTAGATAGTGACATGATTCCAAAGTTGACACCCCTGTAGAGGCTCTGTATATATTCCTTGCGTGCGTTGACAGCTAAGCAATTGATCTGGGGATGGTATATGAGGTGATATGCTCTAGAAAAATTGCATCTAAGGCGAACCGACTGAAGGACGTGAAATAACAGGGCCTCGGCCAAGATAACAAAACCGCCTTTTTCGGTTATATGATTTTTTGGACCTGGAATTCTATAAAATATCAACTTTCCGTGGGGCGAGCGGTATATAGTACAGCTGCAGGGTCAGCCCCAACAAACTGGATGTATAGGTATATACTAAAGAACTCGTACCGGGATTGATATATAACGGCACATATAGATAACATGCTATCTATCTCCAGTCGGGTCCCATATTCTATAGTACTTGTTAGTCTTGAGGTGTCAATCCGCGTTGTTGCAGACTTACAAGTACTTGGTGGCCAGATTTTGCTCGGAATCTTGTTCCAGGTTGTGGTGTGCCTAATTCATGTAGCTGTTTGATGAATATTGCATTGTTATGGATGAATAGCTGGCATTCGAGGTGATGTGTTCAAGTTCCGCGGATGTAGCTACCAGCGAATAGGTGATGAGGGAATAGAAGACACAGTTGATATTTGATTTTGTTAGTAAGATGCGTAGATATCAAGAGCAGTGGTAGGTGTCAAGAGCAATGTAGGAATAGCGCTAGTGGCCGGAAGTAAACACATTACACCCACAACACACACCCCGGTCAAAACACCTCGACTGATCTGGAGATCAAACTACCGGGTGATATTCTATGATGGCCCGCCAAACAGATGCATATGTGGCGGAACATAACCCGTACACAGCGGTAACGCCGCGAACACGTGCACTGTTTCGGGACCGGTCCGAAATGATTGGAGGGCTTGTTACCGGGGCGTTTCGGCTGCAGGGCCCGATGGGTGGGGCTCTGGGTTTCGATTCAGAGGGGAAAACTCGGTTTTTAATTTGACTATATGCATTTGATCTGGGGCGAAGATCTAATCTTCACTGGGCCGGTACCGGAAAGATAGGTGAATCGGCATATGTGGCTACTGTGACCATGTACTACGTTTGGTTTCGGTAAAATGTGGATTTAATTACTATCTATAGAATACACTGTAACTTCTGGATCTACATGTACTTTATACCAATACTCAACGCATATAGCTGATCGAAGGGATTTTCGATGGGAATTTATTTTGCTCGATCGAGCTCCCCAAAATATCTATCCAAACACACATGTCACTCACACAATAAATGAATTATCAATCACCTACGCATGTCATCCTATAGCTCTGTAGCCCTCTCCAGTCAACCCATTAACCGTTCCCTCAAGGATTCTAAGCCCAAACCACAGAAACCCACGAGTGAGCACCCATGACCCACGTCACGTGCATGAACCTATTCCACCCACCCCACCTTACCCGGCCCATCCCACGCCCCGCACTCCAATCAAACAAGCTCAAACAATAATCCCCACATCCCAACAACCAAAGATGCTAGTCCTGACCCTCACCGCAGACCTCTCCGGGTACCTCCCACCCCCCTACAGCGCAGCTTCGGAAACCAATGCTAACACCAGGCCGCCCCCAGAGTCACAAACCTCCGCCGGATGACACGGAGGACAACCCGTTCTACTACATGCTGAAGGTGCAGTGCACGTCGTGCCGTGAGGTGCACGAGAAGACGGTGGGCATTAGCCGTTTTGTAAGTTGGCGAATCCAGAGAGGAGAGGAAAGGGAGGGAAGGGGTGTAGGGGCTGACTGTGGGTAGGATGAGAGAGAGATGTCAAACAGCCGCGGCGAGTCCAATTTCGTCTGGAAGTGTAAGAACTGCAGTGTAAGCACCCCCACAACTAGCTCTCCAGCTTAGTATCATTGTATACATATCCTAACACCCCCGCCACTACAGCGCGAATCTTCAGCAAGTAAATAAGCCCGCCATTCTCCCAGCGGTAGTGGTTCTTGTGGGATACTAACACAACACTACACAGTGATCCGCGCAGCTCCAAAACCGTACACACAGTGCTCCCCGCCCAAGAAGCAGAACATCCTCGAGTTTGAGTGCCGCGGGTGCGAGTTTAAGGAATTCAGCGCGGAGGGCAACTGGCTTGCGGAGGGGCTCGAGTCTGGGACCAAGTTTTCGGAGATTGATCTCACGGACGAGTGGTTTGAATATGATGAGAAGGCGGGCGAGGAGGTGACGATTAAGGATATTAAGTGGGAGATTAGGAGGGGGTAGATAGCTAGATAGTGGGTCAGATGTTCTTTTCTTTGGCTGATTTTTAGGGCGCTTGAGGGCGTGGCGTTTAATGGATGGATGATATCATTGATGCGCGTGCTGGCCCTGAGGGCGGTGGTGCGGATGTGCTGAGGGGAGTTTATGGGCGGGTTGATGGACCTGCTCATGCTCGAGTGATATCGTGTGATGAGAGATGACGACCCACGAGGTTGTAAGCAAGCGGTGGAAATGTCTTGATTTGGAGCACCATTTCTAGACCACTGCTTTCGCAACTACACAGATCCCATAGGGTACTAACACCCAGGGATAGGTCTACTAATCCCGCCAATACTTGGTTTTTTTACAAGCTCTCAGTCGTAGTTACACAGCCCCCTACAAAAATAATATTGTACGAGTCCGGTACTGCGGCGAGTGACGGCGTGTGATGCACGTCCGGTTGCAAAATGTCCCTCCATCACAGCCATTGTAGCCAGACCAATTGCACTCGACTTTCAAGGCTGATATCTGTCCTTTCTGGGAGTGATACTTAAGGCGTTGGCCGCCACAACCCACACAGATCATCCGTTAATCATGACAATCACCGTCCAACGAGTCGGATTGGTGCATCCAACAAGCAGATCGAAACGAACCTATACGAACACCAGTTGTCTACTTTGAACTATCATCATAGGCTCATTTACGGGCCGTATATAAGAGTCCGCATGAAATTCCCTCAGGCAGCAGACGTTTTTTCTCGTCGACTTCTACCGCTGAAAGGACACATGCTAAGATGACGGGGAAACATGGTCACATACTCCGTGAAGGGTCTAGGCCAGCTGCATTTACTGGTATGCAAAGTTTGACTGGGACGTGCCAGGGCAATACTACCACTACGTCTAGTTGTTTCTCCTATTCTGAAAGAGTGGTCAAAATGGGCAATATCTCTGGAGTGAGTGCATTACTTTGCTTGTTTATATACATCTATCGAACTAGCCCTACCAACGCCATAGTGTCCCCTCTCGGAATGGGGCGACAATCACCACACTGCTTGGTGGCTGGTCTGCGTCTATGCCTATCCATGGCTATACCGTCTTCCTGCCCAAACCGTGTCCGAACGGTGTTTATCACAACATTCTCGACTGTCTTCAAACCCAGGGCTGGCAACAGCCTATTCTGGCTTCCAGGATAGCCTCCCGCCCCCCCTTTTGATTTATCTCCCAACAGTCCCTCAAAGCACCACCGACTTTCACTCCCTGCCAAAGCTACCACAGGGTGCTCTTCTGTTGGATGCCCTACAACTATAGTAATGCTTCCAGTCAATCATTGGCTACCCTTGAGTCCTCGACTGAACTCCTGTACTCGCTCCGAGTGATATAACATGCTACAACTACCTTTCTCTTCTTGTTTTATATCCTTTTCATTATGCACCCAGCCAAGTACTGATACTGGTGCTTATAGAAACATCCTTCTCCCTAACACGCGCCACAATACCGGGATCACACCCTTCCCTATGGAGCCCGGGCTCACAACCCGCCGAGGAAGTACCGCAGCAGGAATGCCTACACCCGTCTGCGTATGCGCCTTCCTCACCTGCTGCTGCTGCTGCTCTCTCGCCGCCTGCCACCCCCGTGACAAGCTATCAGTTCCCGCCCCCCACATACCCCACACGCCCCCCAGCCTCGGGAACGCCTTCCCGGCACCCGCCAACCCCAGCACCCCCGCCCTTACCCACCTCCTATCAACTCCCCCCCCCCCCTCCGCGCCCTCACCAGCGATGCCAACACCGCCAATATATCCCCCGGCGTCCCCCTCGTCACCGACCACCTCTCTCTCCTCCTATCCCTCCTCATCACTGCCCTCCCCCGCACCCTCATCCTCGTCGGCCGCCGCAGCCCGCGCGGCCGGTCAGCACGCACGAACGGCCGCCCGCGGATACAACGCACGATCTTGCGCCGACTGAGGAACTTTGTGATGCGTGGGCGGGGCCGGTAGGGCGGCGCGTGGGTGCGGTGGACGCGCGGGACGGGTGCATAGGGGCGTACTGCGACTCTGTGGGCGAGCTTCGGCGGCTCTTTGGGGGGGATTTCGGGGTCTCGGTGGATTCGGGGCGCTCGGGCTGGTGTTTCGGGGGTGGGGGAGAGAGAGGGGACGATGATGCGGGGAGAGTGGCGGGGAGGCGCGAAGAAGGTGGCGTGGATGGACTTTCCGAGGCGGCGGCGGTGGCTGCGTTCTTGGGTTGTGCCGGGGAGGGCGTCGACTTCCTCGTTGGTGAGGAAGAGGCGGCGGATTTGGGGCGTGCTGAAGGAGTGCCAGATGCGCTTTATTTTGAAGCGTTTCTTGGGAGTCTCTGGGGTGGTTGCAGTTGTGGATACAAACTCGGGGGTCATTATGGCTGTGAGTTCGAGCTTTGGGGTAATGATAGCGGGCGCAGGATCTATAGCTAGATCAGGGGTCAGCTCTAGGTTCACCTGTGTGGTTTCTGTCATTCCCAGTTTGGGCTTTGTTGCGATTGCCATGGTCCCCGGGATATCATTGACCTCTTCCAGTCTCGAGATCTGAGTCTCTGGCTCCTTTTCTGCGTGGTCGTGCGGATATGTAGGTTTCGATGCACCCTCCGATCCTACCACCACCGGCGAAGTCACCTTCCCCGCCTTCGGAATCCTTTTGAGGCCCCGATTTCTCCTCCGCTCCACATACAGCCTCTTCTCCGTCGCCGGATACGCACTCAGCACCGTACCCAGCTCCTCTCCCATCCCCGCTGCATATATCACACACAGATACTCCCTTCCCGGCCTGCCTCCCTCCCCACCAAGTTCAAGCTCATACCACCTCGATCTCTGATCCCCAAACACGGGCTTCCCATTCACCATATGCCACCTCACAAGCTCACACACCTCGCTCTCCTCCACCCCGTACGCAGCGAAATTGGCCTGGTGGCGCCGCAGGATGTGCCGCAGCCCCCAGTACGGCGTGCCTAGCTGCATCGCCAGATTGCCGCTCTCCCAGAGGCGCAGTGACGGCTGGAGGCCATGGGTGTGCACGGCGGCGCGGTTGTAGCGGTGGGCGAGCGTCCAGAGAAGCGGCTCTTCGTGGGTCTTGCGGCTGCGGATCCGACGCGTGGTGGCCGGCGTGAGCGGCTCGATCAGGGAGTAGGCACGGCGCTTGCAGAGGAGGACGCGGGTGGCTTCGGCGGCGATGGCGGACCATTCTTGTGTGTGGCGGGTGCGGGCGCAGTCTATGTCTATGTCTATGTTTGTGTTCCGGGGGGTGCTGGGGTGGTGGTGGTGGTGGTGGTGGTGGTGGTGGTGGTGGTGGTGCTGTTGTCGGTGACGGTGTCGGTGGCGCCCGGCTTGGGGGGTGGGTGGAGGGGCCATTGTGGGTGGGGGTGTCTGGCTGTCTGTCTGGTGGAGGTTAGGGATTGGGCATTGATCTTGGTGGGTTTGATATCTCTCTGTAGCTGGAGGTTAGGGATTGGGTATTGATCTTGGTGGGTTTGATATCTCTCTGTAGCTGGAGAGTGGAGGTTATTATATATGTAGATTATCGAGTAGAGTCTGTCTATTAGTAGTCCATGTATGTATCTACTCTATTTACATGATTTGGGAATAGTTGACCCCACCGCAAACTCGACCCAGAAAAACTCGCAACAGCCCCACCATCACCCGCAGAGCCGCACGAGGGTATTTGAATCTCCCTCCATTCATCCCCGGCCCTCTCCCACCCCCCGAACATCTCTCGATACCTCTCTCCCTCTCTCCCACCTCTATACACCTCTATACACAATACAACCACCAATGGCCCTCGCCGCCTACCGCCACCTCATCCGCGCCGCCCGCACCGCCTTCGAAGGTCTGTCTCCCTCCCCCCATTGTCCCCCACCCCATTGCTCCACACACACTAACCCCCCCCCCCTCTCCCGGGGGTTATAGGCGACACCTTCGTCCTCACCGCCGCCAAAACCGAAGCCCGCCGCGGCTTCGAGGCGAACCGCGCCCTCCCGCGCGACAGCGACGATACACGCTCGCTCGTCAGCAACGCGGAGGAGGTGGCCACGATGCTGAAGAGGAATGTGGTGCAGGGGAGATTGAATGGGGATGGGCGGTATGGTGAGTGTTCCACGACCCTGGGGGGAGGGGGGATGGTGGAAGGGGATGGGGGGGCATTGGGGCATTGGGAGTGAGAGGAAGGAGGGGGGGCTAATAGGATGGTGGTGGTGGGCAGAGTTGAGGATTCATGATGGGATTGAGAGGGGTGATAATGAGAGTATTAAGCAGGCGAGGGGGACGCTGGGGGCGGGGGGGAAGGGGTGTTGTTCGGCTTAGGGCTGGCGTTGGGGGAGGGTGAAGGGGAGGATGTGGGGGGGGGGGGGGGTTTAATGGGTAGGTTGTGGGCCGGTTTGGGGGAGAGGGAGAGATACCATGTACATGTAGTTAGAATTAGTGGGTAGAGGAGTGTAGTTTTTTTTCCCTTCATTTTAACTACCTTTTTCTTTTGCGTTTTAAATTTTTTTGCGTTTGGGGGTCTGAAGCTCTACTCTATAAATATTGTCTTTTTTTATGGTTTCCCTTTTGGAATGCGGAATGGCTAGCTAGCTACGATGACTATTGTACAAAAATTGGAATCTGATTACCCACTTCATGATGAACACGCAAAGAAAAAGAGCAAGAAAAGAAAAAGGAAAAAGCGAAACGCCCACACGCACACACTCATCAAATTGCCATTGCCCTCGCACTACCCCGCCACCTGACTCGGATACGCCCGGTCCTCACTCCCCGGCGGCCCGACCAGCATCCCCTCCAGATCCTCCACCTCCCTCTCCCTGCCCCCCTCCTGCGCCTCCTCCTGCGTCTCCTGCGTCTCCACGACCGCAGCACCACCACCGCCGCCCCGCCCGCCCGCCTGGGAGCGGTCCATGTTGCCCAAAGGCCGAGTGCGCCCCCATTGCACGCGCAGCGGGCAGCCGGCAATGACGGCTTTGCCCTGGCACGAGACGGCGGCGGCTTCGGCGCCGGAGCGCGTCTGGAAGTTGACGAAGGCGCAGCGCGAGCGGTGTACGCAGACGATGGACTTGAGGGGGCCGAAGGCGGTGAAGAAGGTGCGGATGTGGTGCTCTGCGAGGTCGTCTTCGACGCTGTTTGGGTGTTAGTAGTTCGGACGGAAGAGAAGTGGGTGTTAGGAAGATAGAGAGAGAGAATACGTACCCAGTGAGGAACAACGACGTGATACTCTGATCATCCGGCGGAATGACATCCTGCGGCCCCGGCGGCACCTGTCCCACCCCCGAAAACCTCCCCCCCCTCCCGCCCCTGCCGCCCCTGCCGCCCCTGCCACCAGCACCCCTCCCTCTCCCTCCCTCTCGATCCCTCGTCCTCACGGGCCCCACCCCACCACCACCTTCACCACCACCACCACCACCCGAGCTAGAGCCCTCCCCCCCGCCGCGCTTCCGCCGGTAGTACGGCTCGCTGCCGGCCAGCTTCTTGAGCAGGTCGCGCGCGGCCGCGTCCGTCTTGTCGTACTCCTCCGGCACCTGTCCGTCGACCAGCGCGCCCTCGTGGTTCTGCGCATAGTACTCCTTGTTGATGCCGGAGCTGGGGCCCTGCGCGACGAGCTTGAGCGCGGCGTCGCGCACGGCGATGGGCAGGCCGAAGGAGAGGTCGAGCATGCAGCATTGGCAGCAGTTCTTGAGGCGTGCGCAGGTGAGGCAGATCTGGGCGTGCGAGTGTCAGCGAATGTTAGAGAGCAGGAGGGAGAGAAGGGGGCAGGGGAGACAGACGTTGGTCTTCTTGAAGCGCGAGGTGCGGTCGGCGGCCCAGCGGAAGACGGTGAAGGGGCGCGTGCAGATCTTGCATTCGAGACCGCGGTCCTCCTTGATCATCTGGATGAAGGGGTTGTCGGTGGCGGAGAGACAGTCGTTGCACACGGCGGGGAAGTCGGTCACTTCGGCGCCCGAGCGGTTTATGTCGGATTTGGGGCCGGCGGGGGGCATTGCTGTGTTTTTGTGTGTGTTGTTTGTGTATGGGGGGGTTGGTGGTGAGGGAGTGGTGGGAGTGGGAGTGGAGTGGTGAAGTGGTGAGTGAAGATGGTGAGTGAAGATGGTGAGAGAGAGCTTGGGTGAGTTGTTGTGGCGTTAGTAAGCGTTGCCAAGGCGATGATGGACTCGATGGAAGAAGAAGGGATTTGGAATTCTGAGAGTGCAGATGGCAATACTCTACAGCTACTATGGCATTTACTTCCAACGCGGTCAGCATGAAGAAACTGATTTTACAAATGATGAAATTAATATATTTACAGATTAGCTAGACCAACTATGCTACAAAAAAGGAGATGATCGATCTACCAATCACTGACCGTGATATATGAACATGAGAGCTCCATGAATTGAAGCACTAAACAATACATGTTAAACGGCTACCGCCAGCAAAGGAAATACATCTAAATCAAGCCAGCATCTAGATTTGGGAAGTAATTTACAGATACGGGAACAGTTAAAGGTGCCCGTGATGGCCGGAAGTCTGTTCAGAACCGACCAGGAGGCTGCATACGTAGGTGCAGGGCTGTGTATAGGCATCTTATGATCTAGAGTTGAGCGTGTCTGGCCATAGTGTCGCGCTCCTTCTACGTGGCATTGTGGTGAGAGAACTAGCGGAGTGGGTTGGCGAGTGATATTCTATGAGTTTAATTGCTTGTATCCATGGGCTCACTCTCGGTATGTAAATTATGTATGTAGCTATGGGCCGTGTCAATGGTAGATTGACTACAAGCACATGTATATTATGTAGTCCTTGCCAACGGCAATAACACTGTGCCCGTAGTTATTGGCCTGGGAACGAAACAGCATACGGGGCTTAAACGGGTCCTGGCAGCGTCAATTACCAAATTTGCAAACCAAAGAGACGACTGATGTAGTTTACCTATAATGCATAACAGGCCTAGGGAATATACATATGGGGGGGGGGGGGGTACTGTGATAGTTTAGACTAAGAACCCCCGAGTATCGAATGACTGTAGAAATTCACATATTTAGTAAACACAAGGTTTAAATCTGTACAGTTCGGCACTACTATTAAGAACCAGCAATGCATTTTCCTTCAACAACGGGAGTTTTAATTCCCCTGGTATTTAAAAAAACAAAAAACAAAAACATACCGTCAGGATCTAGCACCATGTACTGGCAGAACGGCTGCCGGTAGAGATACGCCACGGCGTTAATTTGGACGAAGAATACCCAATTCCACCACTCTTGCCGACTATCGACTACATGTATGTACCTAGCACTCCACTACTCTCCAAAATCTGTCGCAGCGGATCATGGAGTATCACTCGAACTGGTTCTGCGTAGTGCTTGGGCTAGACCACCACAGTAACTCAAGTAGGGCCTTCGGGGCGAGCAGTAAAGTATTATTGCGCCGATTAATTTTTGGCGTGGCTGTCTGGTGGTAGGTGGTGGTAGGTAGTAAAGGGTGGCTTATGGGCTTGTAGGCTCGTGGGGGGGGGGGGGGGGGCAAGGGGGCTTTTGTTGCACTATATATTTCTTCTCTCTTCCCCTCTCCCCCTCTTTCTCTTACATCCTCTCTCTTTCATCATCATCATCATCGCCACCATCATCCTCCGCGATTGAACATATCATCAATACCAATGGTATAACTGACCACAGACAACATAGAAGTTCTTTCCATCGACTAAAGCAGCAAACCGCAATGCAATGCAACGTACTTCTCAAGCCTTACGGAAGGATGGAAATACGCCCCACAACAAACACAAACAGTCCTCGCTCCTGGATGGATGAACATCAAACGCCTAGCTAGTACCTCTCGCCTTCTTTTCACTGCAGGTGAGGGGGGGCGTCATATCCACAATTCTCCTTGATCTTGCCCCAGCCAGCCAGAGGGCGTGGGCGCCAAAGCATCCGCGATGTTGCCGCTAGCTAGTGAGCATGAACTGTGTACTCCCACTAACTACTTACCACTGCCCGGCCAGGCAGAATCTGGAGATAGGAACCCTAATGGGTCGCGAAACATCATCTAGATTGGTTTACAACCAGTCCCTGGATGGCTGTCACGGCACCGCCATGGTCAAGGGATGCATAGCGGAAGCAGGATCCATATCCATGAATTGAAGAAGTATGAAATAGGAATAGGGAATGAGCAAGCATACGATATACATGGATCGGGTACACCTAATCTCCAAGTCTAATTGTGCTCGGTGTGGTAAGATCTTGGGTGATAATGTATGATGCAAACGCTTATAAAAAAGTTTACAACTGTTCCGCCGGCGCCCTCGCAACTGAGAACAACAAGTTATAAGAGATAAGGCCCTGCGAGACGATCTCTCTACTTAAATGTATAGAACAGTGGCTGAATCATCACTTATGCCTGCTCTGGCTAGAGATAGAGAGAAGGAATCCCGGTTCGAAAACCGGGTTGACGGCCAAATATAAACGAATTTCTCATGTATCAAGTAATTCCCTACGCAGGGCACCCATCCTCCGCGGTTTTTGGCAGCTGGTTTCTCAAATGGTCACTTGCGCTACGCTTATCACTTGCAATTCATCTAACTATAGCTGCTGGCTGTTTAAACAACCAATTAAGGCTATACGCCCCTCTAATAATAGTAATAAGAAAAAACGCAAACAAGACAGCCGTTAAAAGAAAATCGTCTAATAAAGAAACTCGTACAATACAACTAGTGTTACACCAGTGCGAAAAAGACTCATTAAACAACAGAGGAAACGTTGACCGAAGGGATGGCTACTGCTCCCGGAACATCCTCTGTTTTCTCTACTGTTGCCGTGGTGGCCGGGGCGGCATAGGTTGTGCGAGCGCCCGCAGCAGTAAGGCCCTTGCGAATGGCGAGGACACTGTCGACAATGACAGCATCAATGCCCTGGTCTACTTGAACCTTTACGTTTTCTGGATCGTTGTTCAAGACACCGTAGGTGATGCAGACCAACCCAGACTCCTTTACAACCCTGTAAATAAAGAATTATATATTAGTAATTGGTATATCAGGACGATAACTCTCTGGGCGATAAAGAAAGGGGGACAGACTTGATCAACCGCGGGCAGAGAACCAAGGGTTCAGCTGCAGACACAATCCCTAGCAAATTCCAGTTGCTAGCGAATCTGATGGCTTCTTGGACACAAGAGGCCCTGATATCTGCCATGGGGTGGGTACCACCATCTGTAAGGAATAAGATGGGGATGGATGGCTTCGGGATTGTTAGTAACCATAGAAGCTACATTAGGGAGATTCATGCGACATACCTGCTTAAAGGAAAGCAACAAGCAAATATCTGGATTGAAACTTGAGAAAATCAAGTCTCGCCCTTTGACATTATCATAGACAACCTTGAGGACTATCGGAAATGTTAGTGAGCTTATCCACATAAAACAGAATCACGAAAACCTACTTGTGTCGACCCAGTGGTTCATCTCGATTGCAAAGCTATCCATTTCATGTTCCTCGGTCTCCTGTAGCATAGGATATTCTGTATTACCATCTAGATTAACAATTGCTTATCATGTTTATCTTGAGGGTCAGGTAACGTACTAAGCTCAATGTTGAACCCAACGCTTTGTGGCAACTTTTTAAATGTTTCCTCAAGAGTTGTGAATGGTGATTGGATACTGCTGCCTCTGACATTGGCCTTGAATCCATTCTTCATGAACCCCCTCGTGTGTTTCATGCGACCATGAGAATCAACATGGTGATCGTCATGCTCGTTCAATGACATGGAGCGAGTCCTGCGGAGACGCTGGGGCGGCACCTGACGACCTTCATGAATGGTGTCAGGGCTATTACCACTGTCCCAGGGGCGATTAGGGGAGCCCGTTCTCCGGTGGCGTGGGTTTTGATGTTCACTGATTGACATGAACTAAATTTTAAGTTTTAGTAAATCCCTTATCGTGCGAAGGCTGATTTTGAAATACCTGGTCCAGCGTCATTGTGTGTACAGGTGCATCAATTCCTGTCTCGCCAACAAGGAAATCATGATAGATGACGGGTACATGGTCCTTGGTTAGTTGCACATCTGGAAAAACAGCGGTTAGCATGCCTAAAATGATCACACTGATTTTTTTCGGGTCATACCAAACTATATATCAAATTAGCACAGTCTCAAAAATAAAAAAAAAGACACAAGGGCAGCTCACCTCAACATACTCGGCCCCTAAGTTGGCAGCAGCAATAAAAGACTATGAAATCGATTAGTTCATGTTCACCTTACATAAAACTTTATAGCATATTTAGCATACCAGTAGAGTGTTCTCGCCTAGCTGAAGCGACTTTCTGGTGGTCGTGTTCTTTCCAAGGCCTTCACAAGAATTAGCTATGATGAATGTTTAATGAAGATCACTAACAAATCAAGTACCTCGATGACCAATAACTCTTGTGGGTGCCAAGCTTTTCCAGTAAGTCTGCTTTTTGGTGACCTCCATATTCGGGTGCTCGAATGGAGTAACAACCCGAAACTCAAAGTTGACACATCCGATGATCTCTAGGCTGTTCACAGCAAGAATCGGGACTTGGATATCGCCTTGCAGAGCAACTCTACTCCTCCCCAAGCCTGGCTTGATCGAGCTCAAAAGCGCCACAGCACGGCCTATGATTCTATCTTTGGCGCCTGAGTATGTCGGTACTAGATCAAACATAAGCTTGACTTTACTAGCGTCCTTAGTCTCAAAGCAAATCGGGTCCTCAGAAGCAGAATTTGTGTGGACGGGTAGGTCAATGATTGAGGGCTCGCCAGTCGCATTTTGGGCCGAAACAACGAGGGAAAGTGCTGTATCCAACTGGGTCGAATGTGCCTCAGATAATGGGATTTTGTCTAGCTTTACAGCAGACATATTCTTTCGAGTGTCTGTGCTTCCTAGAGTAACCAAAATCATGGTTTCTCCCTTTTTCAAGTATCGATGCCCAAAGCTCTTAACTGGTTGAGCAATAGGCGCTGTAGTTTTTCCGGAAGACCCGTTGAGAGATATCATCTTCTCCAAGCTTGATGGCGGAGAAGGTGTGACAGAACCTGGGAGTACTTCGGGGACGCTAACATTCTTCGCCAATATCCTAGCTATATCAAGGTGACCTCTAAGACTTGCGTGTTCTGCTGCTGTCCACCCAGATAAATCAATTTTATCCAGCTCACTCCCAGCTTCTAGCAAAGTCTCGACAATTTGGGTTTTGCCCTCGACAGCTGCAACAAACAAAGGCGTCCAGCCATAAGTTTTTTCGGCAAGCTCAAGGTCCGCTCGCTGAGTATCGTTTCCCTCCAATAAAACTTTCGCGCACTCAACATGACCTAACCTTGCAGCATGATGTAATGCGGTCTCGCCATTACCATCCTGATAATTGATATCAACACCAGCCTCAACCAATAACTTGACGATAGCAGTGGCATTTGCTTTTGCCGCCAAGGCCAAGACTGCAGATGACTTTGAAACAGCCTTTCTGGCTGAAACGATCTTGTCATCGCTGCCCAGACCGCCATCCCAGCTCTCAGCTTGTAGCAAAAGCTTTGTGGTTTTTGGGTGCGCTCCCATGACGGCCAAATGCAATGGCGCAAGTCCATCAGAATCCTGCCAATTTGGTGAATCGATTCCGTCTGAAACGTCAAACTGCCCCCACTGCCGCATGTACTTGATGACCACTTGGCAGATCACCACAAACCCATATTGTGCAGCATAATGAAGTGCCATCCGACCATAAGAGTCCCGAACCGCCAGAGCAGGCCGTTGATGGGGACGAAGCTTGCTCAGCAGGTGTTCCAACAATTTCACAGAACTATCATGTGCAGAAAGCTTTAGGGTTCCGTCAAGCTCAGTGGTATTCCGAGATGAGGGAGGTAAAGAGATTGGAGATTCTGCTGGGGTGATAAAAAGTGGAAGGTTTGAAGATGTCTGAAGTAGAGACGATCCTGGCGTTGGTGTATCTAGTAAGGACAAGTCTGTTGATGAATCAATAAGGGATTTGTTTCTCCCGATGGAAATTACTAAACGATGAATGATGTTCCTTTCGTTGATATCATCATCCTCGTGTAATGTCTCGATGCGTCCTAAGAGCAAGTCGATACACGCCAAGGCCTTATTGGTGATTGCACGTTGTAGAAGTATAAGCAAGAGCTTCTGTGTAACATACTCACCCACGAGAGCATCCGATAAGCTCGTCGAATTATCTTCACGTATGCAAAGGTCAACCTTATCTGCTGTTCCCTCCGGCGCCCCTGGTGCGGTGCCCGATGCAAAGCGACGTAAGGTAGGTCGGACAGAAGACTCAACATCGTACTCAGCACCATCTGTCCCACCAACTTTGGAAAGCCAAGTATTGACGGTTTGCATGGCCGCGATAACCTCTGTGGCCGAAGCAAACGGCTTAAGGATTACTTTAGACTCGAGGTACCGCTTTTGTGCGCAGACATTCGTCTTTTTATCCACTCTGTTGAAATATTAATGAGGCGCATTCATAGCGGGGTATAAATTGCGGAGTCATACTTTTTCAAGATTTTGATAAACCCTCTTCGGTTGACCTCTGCACAGAAAGAGAAGTAAGTATCATTGACAGCTAAAGCATAACTTGACTATGAATTTTGAAGCTTACCTCCATACCACTGCAGCTTCCGAAGCCCACTTCTCAGCTCAAGGAGAGCACCTAGAAGCTCAGACATCTCATCGCTGTCCATGCCAAAACCATCTGGGGCAGTCTCTCCAGAATCTTCGCTCTTGACACTACCGCTCTCAGAAGTCATCCAATCAAAGTGTTCGCCATAACGCCCTTGCAACAATTTCAGTCGTCGCTGAGATTCGGCAAAACGTTTATTGAAGAAGGAGTCAACAGTCTCAAGGTTGCGGTCAAGTTCAAAAAAGAATGCTGGGTTTGAGTTGTCAGTGGCTAAATAGCTCCCACAGTAAAATAAGACAGATGAGCTTACGAGTCAAATCAGCTTCTCCAGCGACGCGCTGATCCGAGGTGACAGATTTGATATGTTTTTTGAGGCCCTTGTAATCGATATAATTTGAAGACCATTCTGGGACCTGGTTCCTGGGTAAACTATATGTAACGAATTCCACAAAAGTAAGCGGACAGATCTAGATCCTGGCAGTTCAGGGGAGGATATGACGTACGATTTACCGAACTTCATCGCGATTGAATCCTGAGCTTTACTCTTCAAATGCGCAAAAAGAAAAAATAAATGGGATGGGTATAATAAATAAGATTTAGAGGGGCGGCTTTGAGATGAGATGGAATTGGAGTGGTTATGTTGTTCGCTCGGAGGGATGTTGCGCCTCTTTCAAGTGAGCTTTAAGTCAGTAGGTGTGCCTGTCGACAAACCGAACCTGATCGTGTCCAAGCTAAAATCTCCGGTTGGTCAGCTAGCCTTCCCTTGGTACAACGCGTTTGCGCAGCAAGGAAACAAGTTGTAGAGCAAGGCGTTTGATTTTGCAGGGAGGGGGTACTAACTCAATTCCTTTCCTTGTAGCACCCTCCCTTGAGTACACCGGCAGCGGGAAAACCTAGGAAGAATTCGGAATATGGAAATGCTCTGTTCTTGACAACCCTCTTATCGAAAGGAACCGCGGGGCTTTGGTGATGGAAGAAAATTCTGAATTACAGAGCTTTCAAGGTCGAGGGGCACAATGCTAATTAAAAGCCCCCGCGCAAAAGATTTATTGGTCATAGCTCATAGCTCTTTTTCTTTCTTTTTATGGCGGCAAATGCAGTTTCACTCACACACAGTAGCTATCAACGCGCGCCTTTCCCGATTAAAATAAGCTCCGTAATCTGGGCTCTGCGGCTTCTGTATGAGAGATGCAGTGCTTCTCGAAACACAAACCCTAACCCTCTACAGCTCCATCTCAATACCGGTATCTGGTCTGATTATGATGAACATCTGCTTGCATATATTGATATTCCTTTTGATTGGATACGATAACAACACCCGGAGTTGGCCATACCGAGTCCTTGTCTTCGACTCGGTAGATGCACGATCAACGAATTAATCTATCCTATTGACAGAGCAATTGGAACACGTAGCAGGAGATCTGGAATCAATAATGCAAGTCTTCAACCTCGACTTGTACCTTCTAACTCTTGAGTAGGACCCCTTTATTTCCTTGCATCAACTTCGTACTCTTAAAAAGTGGAGTATGTACATACATGTACCTACTCTATTCTAGAGAGTAGTTAATGCCTCCTCGGCACAGTGCCTTGAGGTGGTGGGTGTGCTCAAGGCAACCTATCAATAGGAAGCTCGGTCCCGGTCCGGACAGCGGCAGAATGCAGTGATGCTTGTTCAAGGACCCTGATCTAACCAATTAGTCTCAAAACACCAACACCTGACCCAAAAGAAATCTCACGATAGTTGCTGTCTTGCCCCTTCCTTGCGCTACCACCTTGTTATATTCAGCCACCAGCGCCAGATCAGCTACATTTCGCCCGGTATCCAATTTTTCTAGAGCTTTTATCCTGTGGTCTTGTGATCCACTCCGCTCGTGGCCATGATTCCATAGGGTATCCGAAGCGAAGTGTGCCCGCTATAAACCCTAGGTATGCGGGGTGCATGCGACGTTGGATGGAACATTTACCATCTAGATTCTAATGGCTGACGTGAACCGATTACATACATGTATCCACCAGCGTGGCTAATAATGCAAACCCACGGACTCATCCAGGAACAACCTCTCATCCGCGCTGCGCATTTCGACACGTACGTAAAGAAGAACCTCGAGATTACCTATAATATATCCGTGTGGATGGGATGGACTTAAATTTGTTTTGCTTTGTTCAACGTCGCCTGATCAACCAAATGGCGAAACAACTTGTGCTCTATGAGCAATCACAACGCGTTACAAACACAATTGATTGTAGACTACATGTACCTACTATTGAGAAATAGCTGATATTTGCTTTGGGCTTTCTCAAAGTAAGGTGGGGATGGTTTCGTTGGACGAACCCTGCAGAATTTTACTTTTTGCTTGATGAAGTCTTCGAATCAAGGCTACACGCTAGAATCGAGCATTTGAAATCTCTGGCACGCAAAGCACAGCCCCGAGACAATTGAGAACTAAAGACCGGCACTGGAGTGGGAATAGGTACCAGCTTTAGAGTAGGAGTACCGACCGCATCATTGGAGAGACTTACTAGATCATATATCAAAATCCAAAAGAAAAATGACCTGCGATCCCAACTGAGAGTTACACAAGTCATGAAGGTATATCAACTGCGTACCGATGGTCATCTCAATGCACCCCTTTGGCAAAGCTCGCGTGCTCATTTTTTGAAGACTGGAATTGGTTCAATTACAATTGACATACATCAAAATTGGTACTTGCGCAGTTTTTATACCTTATGTGAAGTACCATGTTCATGCAAAGGATAGCTGTCTCGTGATTGGCTCTAATATAGTAGGAAATGTGTATCTGGTATCCCTTGCTCAACACTTATCAATGACACCATCCACTGTTGAATTGTTGAAGAGCTTATATAGATCACCGCCCTTGAAACCAGCTGGGTCGACGTTTTTGGGTTCGAGACCCATGTTTCACGGAAGGGGGCATATTTCAACAGAATCAGAGCGTGCAGATCATCGGCTTATGGCCTCCAGTTTATTATATATTTGGACGCATGCTAGAATATGCTCGATAGGAATTGCGTTTGGGCCACAGCGACAATACCCTAATAATCAATTTAGACGAGTGGCCGGTCACACAAGACGTCCGAGTCCTCTTGACTTGATGAAGAAGAAGAGAACCTGCGAGGTTGATTGGTTGAGGTTGATTGATCGATAACTCAATAAGTACGAGAGCCCGCTAGTTCAAAGCCGAGTCGGACCGAAAATCACCGGAATAGCAATTACAGTGTTATCAGAGATTGATTCAAACTGATGTGGTGTTTATGACGTTCTGAAACACGGCAGATAGGACCTCGAAATCCACTTTGACCATTGTTAAGCCCATGAATGAATCCTATCGATCATATTATACTCTATTCACTTACATATATGGCGGCCCTAAATGTCGAGCCTAGAATAACCGTTAGTATTATGCTAGAACAGATAGACCTGAACGAAGAGGTTTGCTAGTTAAGATGATGTGTGTCGACGTCACTGCTGATGTGAATCCTACTAGATAATATACACACACCCAAGACTAACGTTATTTAAACATTTTTGTAGGGCTTGAATTATTTGTTGATGCCGCTGTGCCGAATATTAATATACACTTCTACCACTGATATCATAACACACCGGAGAATTGGCTATGCATGCAAGATCAAAATTGCGACTAATGGTCACTTTTAAGGTTGATCAATGGCCTTCGACCAATTGGTTAGATACATGTAGGTAATAAACCCTAGCCAGATATAGACAATCCATCGAGTTCTTGTGGTATTCTTTGTCAATATTACATATCCACTAAACCTAGAGGCTACATGTGCTTTTCTACATACAAGGTGGCCGACTATCAGCGCAGAATGACATACATGCTTTCTCAACGAAAAAGCTCTTGAGACAGTTCTACCAGTTCGAGCTACTTCTGAATATACTCCATTTATAAAAAGGATTATGCCCAGCACGATGAAGCCCAGTGCATGAAATTCTACACAAAACGTTGTGGTGCAGGTTACGCGTATAGGTGTTGGGGACACGATTCAGCAATTACGTGGCTGAATTCGGTCAAGCATGTCTGTTCGTTTCTCAGACTGTATAGGACTGGGCTGCGGCACCACCGTCTCAATACAATAATTATCACTCCTCAATACTCTTCATCCGAGCATAACCTATATACATATGATGGCGAGATCCCGACCACGAACAGTATGAAAACGTGTCATTTTGATGATTATTACTACCGAAACAAGCGTGTCCACCCAACTACATGTATTGTTAGTAACCCCATCCGAGGACGATGGATTGCAATTTATCTTTAATGGAGGGCAGTGCTAGGCATTACACCGTGGTATCACCCAGATAGGATTACCTTCACAGATTATCACTCGGCTCATGAAGTTCACTATTTCAAATGCAAAAATGTCCGATTTGGAGGATGAAAAAACCAGATCTATTGCAAACTTTACTTATGCCTACAACCAACCCTGTATCAAAGCCCATTTTACGCCCAAGAGAAAGAATCACCCTCCACACCTAGGCAGTCGCAGAGGTTCCGTTGATTTGTTTCGCCGTTTTTTTTTTCTTTTTTCTTTCTCTAATTAATCCCTTAATCACATGCAACCTTACATTTACGGCGATACCGCACTACCCTAGAACTATCCTACATCCGCCGCCATCTCAACAATAAAGAAAATGAAAATGTAAGGAGAGTAATGACAGTAAAGAAAATGAAAGTGTAAGGAGAGTAACTAGTAAACAATTTTGATCCGCCTCTACTAACTCAATATGTGACCTTTTTCTCTCCTCCCCATACTCGGAGGCCGTACTACATATGCCGCTTTGTGCTAGTGGCGACTCGCCGAAACCCTGTATCTTATGCCTGCCCGTTTTGTCTTCGATTTTCCCCAACAATACCCGCCCTTCTGATATCTCGCTTTCTTTGCCCGTGTGGGTCCGGTTGTCTTTGCTTCGCCTTTGGCTCCTCCTCCTCCAGTCCATCGAGTCGCTGCAGGAGATACTCAATCTCGATCTCCTTTGTTTGTGGAATAACCTGAGGAGAGAAAAAAAAAAAAAAAAAAAAAAAAAACAGTTAGTTCCATTTTCGGTCTTCCAGAATTGAATCAAAAAAAATAAAAGGAAGAAAGAAAAAAAAGAGAAATAAAAAAAAAAAAAACTTACATAGTCCTTATACATCGCCACAACAGCCTCCACATTAATTTTCGGCGCCGCCGCCCCGCCCTTGACACCCTCCTTCTCCGCCATCGGATCCGTCCCATACGTCTTCGCCTTCAGCTCCAGCCTCTTCAACACCTGCTTCTCCACCGCCTCATTCGTAATCGCCCTCTCCAAGCCCTCCTCATCCCGCGCGCGGATCATCTTGGCATACTTCTCCGGGTCCTCGCGGAACTTTGCCTCTGCCACAAACTTTCCAAAGTGGATGCGCCTCGACAGCGCCTGCAGGCACGCTACATCGCTCACTGCGGTGCTGCCATAGTTCTCGCGCGTCTCGCCGTGGTCGTCGGCCGCGGTGGTGGAGCACGCGGCGGGAAGGATGTGGTTGATGTACGACTCCTTGAGCTTCTGGTTGCCGTTGACGGTGTTGGGGTGGAGCAGGACGGGCCACTGGAGCGGCGCGAGGATGGGCTCGGGGAGGTCGGAGGGGAAGAAGGCGTACTCGTCGGGGGCCTGGTAGCGGCGCACTTGGGCGTGGATGCGCTCCTGCTGGTGGAGGATCCAGTCGAGGAAGGAGCCGGTGTGGTTGGGGATGTGGATGGCGTTGGGGGTGTAGATGGTGGGGTTGAGCGGGAATTGGACGCGCTCGATGAGGTGGAAGATTATTGTGTCTTCGAGACGGCTGTTGTGCTGGCGGATGGGAAGTTAGTACTGTACTGTGGTGGGGCGGGGGGGGGGGGGGGAGGTGCGAACATTAACTGGTAGCGGATGTTGTTGAGGTCGAGCGCGGAGGAGGCGTCGAGAAGGTCGATTGAGCCGTCCATGGTGATGTTTTGGGGGGGTGGAGATGGGGGAATTTGGGGGGTATGTAGTATTTGGGCGAGGGATGGGGAGGAGAGTTGGCGTGGAGGTCTGGTTCTTTTGTTGGCTTGTTCCTCCCTTTCAGTCTTTGCTCTTGTTCGTTCTCTCCTCTTGATTGTACTCGAATTAGCTGTGGTGTGCGGTGTGTACGGGGGGGGGGGGGCAATTATCCCCTTAACCCGTCAATTGCTGGACCCTGGTGATATTATAGGGGTTGAACTTGTACGGGGGATCTATTATTTGATAAGAAAAGATGGCGGTGGTGGTGGTGGGTCAGCACTTTGGGCGACGGTTGAAAAAAAAGTCGGTTGCAACGGACTATTCGTAGGGTAAATCCGCGATCATAACAGTAATTATATACAAAAAATATATAATTTAAATAAGTAAAAACAAAACTTTGGTAGGTTACAAGACTACAATCCCTTGGAACGGACATTGAAAGTTGTCAAATTCACGACCTGGACCGTGCACCACTTAGTAACTTAAGGGGAATTATCTTGCTTTTTACAGTAACAGAGCCAATCAAAAGTTACCACACAAGGCTAGTGAAGGTCGCGAATTTGACAAATCCGTGGAAGGGATAGCCTGTATCCAAACGATAGTCCAACCTCACTTTTCCGTACATAGGCCTCTACCTCCATTGATTTTTGCACACTGAGCTACTGTCTATCCCTTGGACTGGTGAGACACTGATTAGGTGTGTGGCAGAGTGACTTCGCCACAGAGGGCAAAGTCACTTAGCCACCGCACATAGTTCCCCAGTGAGGAAGTCAGGGAATCTGCAACTAGTCTAAGGGATAGTTACATAGATGTGTCATGTCTCACCGGAGGTCTGGGGCCCCTCATGATGATGATGCGGTGGATTAGTCAGACAGCGTATGTCAATACTGATCCCACGACGACTGTATTATTGTGTTGTGCTGGATATGAGATGCTGCTAGGTAGATACATATATACAGCTTTAGATACAGTAAAGATATACCTCAATGTAAATGCCTATCTCTCAATATACAAAGTCCATTTACTCCTCCCTTGAGATAGAATCAGATCAGTGAACACAGTACGACACCAATTAAGGGCCAAGAAAACTACAGTATGTATGTACAAACACGGGAAACGCTAGCTGAGTAGAGCACTCTTCCCTACGGCCGCCCAATGCCTATGCCCGATATGCGGCCTGCCTCCTCCGTAATGAAAATTCTGAGTATCTTCATGTCCCAAAGACAAGGCAAGACATCTCGCAGTGCCAATCCACATCATCCCACGGCAAGCCACAAAATAGCAATTAATTAGATTACATGTACATGTAGTTACCCATTTACCGACATCAGGCTCAGACATATATACACGTAGAGTAGAGTAGGGAAATGCACAAGAGCGCTGGCTGGCTAGTGTCGTTGTTGTCGTTGTCGTTGTCGTCGGAAAAGACTTCTTGCGGGCGAACCAGCCAGGTTACACCAGGGTCAGGGCCAGGGTTAGGCTCCCGCAGCGCTAATAAGCATTGCGGCTCTTATCGCCCTCCCCACCCCGGATCAGGCAGGCAACCCCAGATAAAAGTAACATCACGAATATCACAATATCACGGGGATTTCATATATACCGACAAACACTCACGCTGCTGCACGCAATGGCAACTCCCCTGCGCATTGCGGTCGAGGGCTGCGTAAGTTTCTCTCTGCTGCCCCCCCCCCCCTCCACAAGAACCTCCCCCCACGAGCCTCTAAATCCTCTCCCCGCACTCACCACTAATACTATTACCAGGGCCATGGCACTCTCAACGCAATCTACGACTCCATCGCCAAAGCCTGCGCAATCAACAAATGGCCTGGCGTGGACCTCCTCATCATCGGCGGCGACTTCCAAGCCGTGCGCAACATGCAGGACCTCAACATCATGTCCTGCCCCGAAAAGTACCGCGCCCTCGGCGACTTCCACGAATACTACTCTGGCAAGCGCCGCGCTCCCTACCTCACGCTCTTTGTTGGCGGCAACCACGAGGCCAGCTCGCACCTCTGGGAGCTCTACTATGGCGGCTGGGCCGCACCGAATATCTACTACATGGGCGCCTCGTCGATTGTGAATTTCAGAGGCCTGCGCGTTGGTGGCTTGAGTGGCATCTATAACCACCACCACTATCACCTCCCGCATCATGAGCGCCTCCCGTATAGTCCCAAGGATGTAAAGTCTGCGTACCATGTCCGCGCGTACGATATGTTCAAGCTGTACCAAGCGCAGGAGCCCATCGATGTGATGATATCGCACGATTGGCCGCAGGGTATCGAGCACTGCGGCGACATGGACGGGTTGCTGCGCAGGAAGCCGTTCTTTCGGGCTGATATCGAGAAGGGCGAGCTGGGGTCGCCGCCGGCGAGGAGCCTCCTGTATAAGCTGAAGCCAAGATACTGGTTTAGTGCGCATATGCATGTCAAGTTTTCGGCGATCGTGGACCATGAAGCTGCGAGTGGCACGGTGAAGAAGGTAAACAAGACGAAGGACGTGGAGAGGGTGAAGGCGCGGAATCCGGAAGAGCTGGATATCGGCCTTGAAGATGGGGAGCCGGCTGCGCCGGTGGTGGTGAAGAATCCGGACGAGCTGGAGATCGAGCTAGATGAAGAGGACGTAGCTCCGGCGGTGCCGGCGAAGAATCCAGACGAGCTGGACCTTGACCTGGACGACGAGGAGGAAGGCGGAGTGTCTGTGCCGCCAAAGAACTCGGACGAGATCGAGCTCGACCTTGACGAGCAGCCCGAGAACCTTCCTCCCGCTGCGGCCACCGCAGTCTCTAAAACCAACAGCGACGAGATCGACCTCGACCTCGACGACGACGCGGCGCCAAGTACCATCCAGCCCTCAGCGCCCGCCCCCAAAACCATCACACCCCCCGCGCAGCCCCGAAGACCAATCCCCGCAAACACAAACCGCCACACCCACTTCCTCGCGCTCGATAAATGCCTCCCCGCCGCGAATTCCTGCAGATCCTCTCCGTCACGCCCACCTCCCCTGCGCCCCCTTCCGCCTCCAGCAGCCCATCCGGCCTCTCCTACGACCCCGAATGGCTCGCCATCACGCGCGCGCTGAATCCGTATCTGCACAACCCGCCCACGCACCCGTACGCATCGTTCCAGGACCCGGTTCACCAGGCGGAAATCACGGCCGAGATTGCGCGGCAGAGGGAGTGGGTGGAGGAGAATATTGTTGCGAGGGGAAAGTTGGGCGTGGAGGAGAACTTTGTGAAGGTTGCGCCGACGCAGGCGATGGTGAAGAGGGAGGAGTGGGGGGTGGGGCCGGCGCCGTATGCGAGTCCGATGACGGAGAAGTTTTGCGCGTTGGTGGAGATTGAGGATGGGACGCTGGTTGGGGGAGGAAGTGGAGGAGGAGGTGGATATAGAGGTAGCGGAGGGGGCGGAGGGTGGAGAGGTGGCAATAGGGGTGGTGGTGGTGGTGGGCGGGGAGGGGGCGGGTACAGAGGCGGCGGTGGAAGAGGTGGTGGAAGAGGGGGTAGGGGTAGAGGGTAAACCTCCCCATTTAACTGATATCATGTAAATAAAAATAATATTTTCTCTCTCACACTCACCGATAGTTATTTGTAATTTCTCGAAGCCTTTCTCTCTGATCGAAGATAAACTTAGCTTGCAACTATATATCCCATAGTCCTTGCCTATCAACCCTCAATTTTTGACATAACCGGCCGCAAGTATGTATACTTGAGGGAGTGAGCGTACGCATAGGAGTCAGCTGATATTTACCCACTGTCATTAACGGTGAATTAAGCTTACTGTATCTATAATATCAGGTTACGTAAGACTCACGAGTGATGATAAATGATGCAAGCAAGCTTCATCGTGTTTTGTTTGGCTTATTTGAGTCCACTCTCGTTATCAGGCTGTTGGTGATCGAATGGATGTCTCGCTATCTGAGGTCTAGAGAAGGCTATGATAATAAATGGTCGGATGGTGGAAGATGAGAGTGATGATGAGTGGATTGGATTAAGTGGGCTGCCGCAGCTTAATTTATGGATCTTTAAACTAACCCATATGCTTAATCGAGTCCAACCATGTATCTACATGTACATGTAGCCATCGAAACTTGCTTGAACACATACATGCATTCTGCTAACCGCTGGGCGCGGCGGGGTGGCGAGAACCGGGAAGTGCGGTCATGGACCATCACTCGGCACTAACGCCCGCACGTAGGGACTAGACCTAAATCGTGATCTGGTTTCCAGACGGTAACGTGCGCACGTTCTAAACGAAAGGCGTGCAGCTTACATGTATGTTACTGTGTATGTTGTTTTGTATGTACAAAAGTTGGAAGTGTCCCGCTGTGAAGACACGGTTTGGACCACGCGCCAAAAGACAACTACATGTAGTGTACTGTATTGTGGACGTGCTATCTACATATATATAAGACATCACTTGAGTACGTGAGAGCCACAGATTTCTTCTCTCTGATTGCTTTTATATCGGTAGCCCTTTCCTCAGTGACCCAGCTCATCTCTTCGTCATACACAAAGCACGGTGACCTATTATCTTCCATCTCCATATGCGTGCTGCCTACTCCCCGGACGACTGCTACTGCACATAGACTTCAACAGTCCATCACATGTTTATCGGGTAGGTAGCGGTTGGGCAGCTATATAAGAAACCAGGCAATTCCCGAATAGAAGAATCGATTGTTGGGATCGATCTTGGCTCACAGATACCCACTCGATTTTTTTTTTTTTTTTTTTTTTTTACCAAGCCTGCCAATTGCCAGATTAGTGCAATCATTCCACGATTAAGGCGAGAGTACAGGGCTGAGACTTAGTCTCGTCCTGGCTCTCGAGCGGTTTCGTCAAGGGCGCTACACCGCACCTCACCCTCATCAAAGAACAAAGAAACGCCCAAACAAGTAGTACTTCTGCAAGTGTTGCTGAAGGAGCATGCCGTATATACGTATCTGGCTCCTCAGATGATGATGAACCTACAGGCGAGCCGTCCGCACATCATGTCGACACGCTATACATATTGACACACACTCTGTGCCGATACAAGGAGCAAGGACCAAGTCACTCAATTGTCGCGCATACTCTATACAAGTCTTCCGGTGAGGATAATGAAATGGACAATGACTGGTTCTAGTAATAAAAGTGGGGTTGATAACCCCAACAAAAACCAATCACATCATAATAGTCACCGAATGATCACAATAATTACTGTCATAATCACCAGAGCCGTATCACAATTAATCATCAATGTATTTATTTTACTTTTTTAACAAACCGAAACAGCCCCAAATAACACCTACAAACCAAAAACACCACAATCACTAAATAACAACAAAGATAAATTTCAATCGCCAATTTTCTTTTTAGCTGACTCACTCTACTCAACAGCTTGAGAAAAGAGAAAACATCCAAAACCCAGCCAACCAAAACCTTTCAAATCCACATTGCATACTCGGTAAATCTATTATATGCTAATAGGATTGGGGCGAGTGATACGCCATGACGATATCACCCCTGCGACCGATTGATTAACTAGAAACATTGGTGATATATACCGATTGTGCACATGTCGGGGATTAATTGACTCAAACTGCAAAGGCACACCTCCGTACATGTCGTCATATGATTATGCGGCAATGCCCGCAGAGGGTTGGCTATAAAAACAACTGCAACTGCAACTGCATCTTCCCTTCCCTTAACACTCCACTCCACCTCACAGCGCGGTTTGACCCCAACCTCCCCCTCCCCCGCCCCCCACCACCACCACCACCACCACCACCACCACACCACACACATCCACCACCCTCTCTAGGACCCCAAAACCTACAACAATGCCTCTCAGTCTCCTAGACCTTCCCGCGGAAGTCATTCTCATGATTAGTGAGAGCTGCAGCTCTAGGTCCGATACTAGCCGCCTCAGCCGCACCAGCCAATATCTGAATGCCCTCCTCACGCCCGTGCTGGACAAGGCCCTCATTGCCGACTACTACCCCGACCGGGTGCTCATCTGGGCAAGCCAAAACTCAAACCTTCCCCTCGTCCGCAAGCTCCTTAAAATGGGCACAGATCCCAATCTCTCCAAGCAAGTCCCCTCGCTCAGAAACGCGCACCGCGGCGAGCGCAATTGGCCCGAATACGGGCTCCTCACGTGCCCGCTCACTGCGCTGCATCACGCCTGCAACCAGGGCTTGCCCGAGATGGCAGAGATCCTCATCAAACACGGCGCCAAGGTCAATTTCAAAGAGCGCCGACGGGACTCTCTGCATTTCGCCGTCTTCAAGGGCAGCCTCGACGCGATCAAGGTGCTTCTCGCCCACAACGTCACCATGACCTGCGTCGACGAGAGCGGTGCAACAGCACTGCACCAGGCCGCCTGCGTGGGCTCTTTCGAGCTGATGGAGTTCCTCATCAACAACGGCGTGCCCATCAACGCCGTCGACAAAAACGGCCGCACACCCCTCCACTTCGCCGCCAGCCGCAAAATGAGGAACATCGAGCTCCTCCTCAAGCACGGCGCCGAGGTCGACTGCATCGACATCAACGGCTGGACCCCGCTCTCCCAGTGCTGCATGAGGGGCAACCTCCTCGCCGCCCGCCTCTTCCTCGCCCACGGCGCAAACCCAAACCACCACTGCACCCCACCCCGCGTCCCCTCTACCAACCTCCTCAGCGTCCTCGAAGTCTCCCGCGGCGACGCCATAACCATGCTTCTCCTCGACCACGGCGCAGACCCAAACTACTGCCAGACGCGCTCCCAGGAGACGGCGCTGCACCGCGCCGCCCACGGCGGGAAAGCAGAGGTTGTGCAGAAGCTGCTCGAGAAGGGCGCGGACGTCGCGGCGCGCGACGTAAAGGGGCAGACACCGCTCCTGCACGCCATCAAGTCCGCGCAGCGGAACCCGGCGGTCGTGAAGCTCCTGGCGGAGCATGATCCGGATGTGGAGGGGATGACAGAGATGCTGCATACGGCGGTGCTGGAGTGCTATGAGGAGGCGGTCAGTATCCTCCTGGAGCGCGGCGCGGACGATAGGGGGCTGCGCCGCCATTGTCGGCCGAGGGTCCAGTATAGTGCTCCTGTACGGGGGCGGGGTGGTGGGCGGCGTGCGCAACGAGCAGGGGCTCAAGCTGCTGCACCGCGTGGTGGTGGGCGGCAGGCTGGGGGCGGAGAGGGTACTGCTCGGTCATAGGTTGAGGGGGGCGGGCGTGGAGAGATTGTCGACTATCTGCGGATGGGCGAGGGAGTTGGTCAATCTTGAAAAGGTAGAGGGCATATTGTGCGGCATTTCATTGGGGAATTTCAAAACGTTGTTAGATTTGGGTTCGAAGTCTGAGTGGTTGTGAGGATAGCTGGGGCCTCGATGGGGAAGTGTGGTGGTATGTAGGTAGTACATAGACACCTCTCGAGGTATTTTACCTACATACACATATAACTACGTAGGCCATAATAGATTTCTAAAAATTGGTGTTCTGGGTTTGGGGGTGTTCTCGGCGTTTTTGGTTTTGGTTTTGGTTTTTGGGTTTGGGAGCTAGCTAGGCGTTCTTGTTCACTACATTTATATCCGCTTTCTCTGTTCTGTTGTAGATATTTGTATCAAATTAGCTATTGTAAGCATCATTATATATACTTAGAAGTGAAGAGGTTACCTACAAGTACGTACTGGATAGATTGCTGTTTGTAAATACAATCGTGTGCGGTGTAGGTACACTTACACTGTCGGAGTTGGATCTTCAGATAGTATAGCTAGTAGAAGTATATATGTGGAGTCTCTAATAGACCTTCAACAAAGTCTGTAACGAACCAAATCTGCAGAATCTAAGTCAGTGAACACATAACAGCTATCAAAGTCGTCGTTGAAAGTACACAATCGTTGTAAAGTTTCTACAATTGAAGTCAATAGAGTTTTTATAATTTAGACAAATTGGATTGGCAACCCTAACCCTATCTCGCTGGTGGCGTTCGGCATGATGGACCATTGTTTTTTTTTTTGCGGGGGAGCTTCGGCGTTTATAAGTACTGTGGATATGGGCGGGGGGGGGGGGTATTTGTTTTGTGGGTGTGGGTGTGGTTTGGTACTATAGGGCTGTGACATGATGTGCGTTCGATACTTATTGGGTATTTGTTTGCTGGATGTTAACTTGGTATGGGTATATATAGGTTAACGGATTGTAGTGTCGTGTAGTGATAGTCCATGAAGACGAGTGCATGTGTGCTTGTTCTGATATCGGGGGCTTCTATATAGGCATGATATTTGGCTGTGGTTTATGTAGGACATGGCTTATACTTGATCATATACTCATGCGTTCGGAATTCTTAGTAGGGATTTGGTTGCAACGATATCCGACCATTTAATGAACGCCCAGTATATGCCCACTTATAGTTGCCCTATAAGCTCGGTGCTTGTAATACTGGTCTTGTAGTGGCTGGTGGAACTAGAACCTAACCCATAGCTACGACTGGCAATATATATAGTCGACTCTCGTCGTAATAGCTATAGTGATACTACGTATGGGTATGTATAGTGATACGGAGGTCTGGAAATGCTGTTTTACTGCTTGTAGGCCATTCTTCTTTCTTATTCCTTATGCTGTGCTACTACTAGCTTCACTAAAAGGTTGTGGAACTAGTGTGTGACTTGATGAGGACGACTCACATGATCAACTTGACTTATATAAAGCATAATGAATTGATTCACATTAAGCTTGACTTTAACGTCGTAATAATAATCTATATGCCCGGTTTTGATGGAATAAATGATTCGAAACAGTTCTATAGTAGTTTTGTGTTGTTCTCCATTGCATCGAACTCACCGGCCATGCACCCTTCACTGAGCGCCGAAGTAAAGCCTAGATGCCAACTAGATCTTTGAATGTGGTATCTCGGTTCAGATGTGTGTGGATTTCGTCTGATGTTACTGTATAGACCTCATGTTGGTGGCATTTAAGTAACAGCTTAAAGAATAGCGATACTCATCTTATTAGGATATAGATTTTCGGTCGAGGTCTCAGCCGTATGCTTAAACTGAGAGTCAACAGTACTATAGCGGTTGCAATTGTTGTTACTATGTTATGAAATTTGATAGATGTTGGTATTTTCAGCGCACCCCGAGTTGGCCATATATATTGGATAGGATATAAAGGGCCCAAATTTCGTTTTTATAAAATGTATGTTTAATTGATTGACTATGTTAAAGGCGCAGTTATGATTACATGTAGACCGTGCGTTGAGGAAAAGTAAAAAGGGCGATAAAGGGTTGGTTAATGGGGGTTTTTCTTTTGTGGCTTTTCTAATGGACGGGCCGCGGACCCAAGCCGCCTAGCTTAAAGGCATATTAAGAAGCGTATTCGATCCCCGGGACCTTTTTCGTATGGGTCACGTATAACGTACCTATTGATTCATTTCCCTACAGCGGCAGAGATTATATACATTCGAATCTCTCTGTAGGGGTACGCTCGGGACCGGAAATCGGTACCCTTATATAGTGCGTGTACCCTTATAACAAGCTAGCTGGGTCGATCTGTACTCAAAAAGCCCAATAGGGAGTCGGGACCGAGAAGTTGTACCCTTACCCTTATAAGGCGAGTATTATTATAGAGAGTACCCTTATAGGGAGGTTCGACGGGATATCTTTGTATATTCTATAGTTTTCGTTCGTATTCGGAGTTAGTTCTGAGAAAAACCCGGGTTTTTAACGACTATCCCAACGATTTTCCTATGTGTTCCTTGGCTCTCGTAACAGAGGGCGCCCGAGCCCTTTCCAGCAACCAGAAGTACCCATTTCTCAACTGTATATTGTCGAAGCGAATCTATAATTCCTTAATATGGTCCTTAGTACCAGAGCCCATCATTGAATGCGTGGTTTCGGGAGGTTGGATATTGACTACGAGCCATGCGATAGGTGTAGGTGGAGGTATAGGTAAAGTTATTTATCGCTTCTAAACCTTATCTGGTTCCTTTTCCGAAGACTTTACTCGGAAATGTTGAGGCATCTAGGAATATGAAAGGTGCAGTTAAATGTGTCCATGGCAGTATATTAAAGCCGATCTAGGTTAAAGTATCTGTCGATACATTTAAGCAAGACATCACCTGTAAATGCATGATTGCTTGCATGGGAAGATTGATTAATATAATGGTGAATTAGTGGGCTATCAGAGCATACTGTAAGGTCAACAGCTAGGTCATGCTGTGCTATGCAAGTCTCAATTGACAAATACCATTGCAGAATGGACTTAAGTTCGGCCCAAGATTACTCTTCAATTGTCAAGGTTGACTGAGTAGAGCACAGCTGGCCATTGGACTAAAAAACCGTGCATCTAATTAATTGCCGAAAAAGCCTACTTTGTATCGATAATCTCACCTCACATACCCCCCCCCCCCCTCCCTCCTCAAATTGTATCAATTAATCAACCTCCCCCAAGATGGCCAAATAACAACTCCTCCCCCACGCGCCCGCCAACTCCCAAAAGGAAGCAAATGTCACGCCTCAGCTAGCTCCGTAAGTACATGTAGATAGGTAGATAGGACGAGAAATACCAACAATCGCTTTAGTCATTTCCACCTGTCCCACCCTGGCCCACGGCGGGAGACTTTTTTTTCTTCTGCTTCCTCCCCCGTCATCGTACGTTGCACATGGTTCTTCCCAAATACTAGGTTTATTTTTAGTCCCTAGCATGCGTAGTTCACCACTGAGGATATCCTTGCTCCTATATCTTTAAAAACCGATTATTGGCTCGACATCCCTCCCCAACCCCCCAACCCCCCAACCCCTGGATGACGCTACTCGCAAGCGAGTACATGTATGTACATGTAGTAGCTGGCTGGCTGGACATACATGCCTTAGTATGTACCTACATAATTCCGCCTTCCCCTCCGATCCTGGAGCCAGCACCCCTAGCTACCTGATCGAAACACGACGTTGCCGAAGGCGAGGCAGGTCCCAATCGATGCCCGTACATATGTACATCTGCAGCTGTCATATTCGGTACGCATTGACCGAACGTCTCGAAAGTTCCTGTGGCCGGCACTCTCGTTTAAGGACGGCCGGGGATGGCCGGATCTTCATCGATTTCTTTTTTCCCCTAGGCCCTCCCCCCCCCCCCCTCTCCTGCTCATCATCCACCCCCCCCCCCCTTCCTCTTACGACCCCCTTTTTAATAATGGCGGCCGAATGTGGAACTTCTAATAAGCCGTTGGATGTTTAAGAACCTCCTCCCCCACCCCCCCGGTGGGGGCCCTGCCCGGGGTAGTGGTAGAGGTGGTTGCAGGTATTCAGTCTGCTACATCATCATACGAGTATGAGTGGTGGTTGTCTGTGGTGGTGGTACATGTATGCAGTCGAGACTCATTCAGGAACGGTCGCTAATACTGTTCCATGCACAGATTATCACTCGAGGGGCTAGTACATAATAGGACGGCTTGGTCATGACTAGTGCGGGCACTAAACTCTTTGAAGAAGAACAACATTTGCTTTTAGGTATATTATAATTGACAGCTAAACTCAACCAACCCAACCAACCCCTCCACACCACCTAATTTTTTTTTCCAATCACACGATCACTAGACGAATCGGACTATCCCTCCCTCTTCTCCTCCTCGTATTACATTACACCACTTTCTTGGGAGAAAAAAAAGCACCTGAAAGAAACATCAAAGCTCCATCATTGCAGTCCCCAACAACTCTGCTCCACTCTGACCTGCATTCACAACCACAAACCAAATGAGACCCATCGCAGCACCAAGAACGATCGAGAACGGCGCAGGAAACCCGAACCAAGCGGTTCCCACAAAGGAGGTTGCCGTGATAACAACCCACCAAGGATCTCTGCCCAATGATGATCCGTTTGCATGGTTCTCATCAACATAGCCCATCTCCCAGAGCCTATAGACAGCGGTATAGATCAACCCTACTGCAGCGGCATTGAGACCTCTGAGGATAGACGCAACCCAAGGTCGACTACGGAGTTCGTTCCAGAATGTAATGGTTGCTGAGGCGAGCAGCATCCCTGGGGTGAATATAGCAATGAAAGCAAGGAGAGCCCCGATAGCTGATGGCAAGGAGCCTGAGTTAAGTGCTGTGAGGGAACCGAGATAGACGGCAACTGTTTTGGGTTAGTCTTGATCTTGGCGATTGGGAGCTAGGATACGGGCTGTCTGGCTTACAGTTGAAGTTCGGCCCTGGGAATGCCTGAATAATTGCCAAACCGAGAAGGAAGTCACGAGCGGTCACCCATCCTTCGTCAACGATATATCTATAATTTACGAGTTATTAATCTACCACAGTAACTTCATGGGGATTATCCTTTACTCACTGTCGGAGCAATGGAATAACGACAGGCCCTCCACCGAAGATGATCTAAAAAAGTTTGTTAGCGACTGAGATATGCATACTGCGCATGAGAACAACGTGGCTACTTACTGTTCCTGCCAGGTACAAGTTCGCAAATAGAGACAACCCAATTGGCCGGCTCTTCAATTCCGCTCTCAACACCAAAATCACGATGAAGGAGATGAAGAATCCGACCACAATCGTGATGGCAAGAGGCATGGGGAAAACCTTGTTCTTGTTGGCTGTGGTAGTGGCCGCTCCCTCGACCACTTCATTCACTTCATTGGCCTGACTTTCGGGATTCTGCGATACTAGCTCCTCGTTCACGGCTGGCCCACTGGATCTTCGGTGAGCAGCAACTGGCTCCTTGACGGACGAAGAAGTCCATGCTCCGTCACCAAGTCCTTCTTCGACAGGTCTGTCGTTGTTACTTTGTCTATGACGCATCCTTTTGAAAAGGTTCTTCGAGTAAAGCAGGGCTTTAGGCCCAAGGCCTCCATCGTATGACATTGTCACAATACCAGCGATGACCATCAAGAGCGGAAAATACCATAGTGCGTTATACAACATTCCCGCTGTGGCACCCAAAAATAAGAGTGCCCTGGAGACTTTGTCAGTAACAGCACGCTGGCCCAATTGAACCGCAGCCAGAGCAATGATCCCTACGGTGGCTGAATTCAAGCCACATAGTAGTGCGTAAACAGGCCTTGGGAGGGTTTCGTCCATTCTCGACACGCCGAGTGATAGGGCAAACATTCCGAGTACTCCCGGCAAACTATGGTTATGTAAACATCCAAGTAAGTAATCAATTAATCGCCTGATGCGGGGAAGAACAAAGGTTAGTACAAACCTGAACAACAGAAACGCCAAAAGCGCGGGTATGAACCCAGAATGAATTAGAGTGATGCAGAACCCAAACTTGGTACTCGCAGGCCCTGGAAGGGCCTGGCAGATAGCAAACAATTCCTGGTACTGTTCCGATTAATACAATTGTTAGCGCCAATATCCAAATATCACTCGGCCCTCTCGTCAGTTAGCGAGATTGGGTACCCCTGAAGGAATCATACCGTCTGCTCATCGATCCACTTGTAGCCGTCGACGAATCGTTTGTGATACTGTATTCAAGTGTTAATCGCTCCACCTTTCATTATCCGACCTTCAATCGCAGGTCAGCATCCGAGTAAAAGGGGGACTTACGATTTGGAAGTGAACAGGCGGTCCTCCAAAGGAGATGAACCCCAAATCCCACATTGTCCTGACCACTTCAGTGAGCCTACTCATCAGAGGCGCACGCCTCTGATAAGTGGTTGATGAGAGTGATGGTGCAGACATTTTGTTTTTGATTTCACTCGATGATAAATGTGCGTTTCAAAATTCTATCTAAAAAATATCTAAATACCCAAAGCCTCCAATGTGTCCGAACGACTGACTCCTGCCGACAGGAAAGAATAACAGAAAGAGGGGAAAGGGATCAAGAAGAGCAAGATCACTCGCAATAAATAATGGTGCAATTTCTCCGCCAAGCGAGTCATTGATCCCTTGGCGAGAAATCTTTTGTCACTTTTGCAGTCCTTTATTTCCTTTTTTCCGCTGTGTCGCTTTCTTGGCCGTTACTCAGCGAAAGAACATTGGACGAAGGATTGTCCGTATCCTGAACACGTGCGCCGGGAGATCAACCAGGCAACGAATAAGGTGCGACTTGTGTGAAGTCAACTAACAATTATCAGTTCCGGGTATTTGTCGTCCAAGACGCGGAAATATCCAATCGGTAAACCACTAATAATTCTCAACGGGTACTAATCTCACTTCAGGAATCTACAATGCTTGTTATTAGAGTAAGGGGGCATATAAGTGGAGAGATAGCTTGGTGGACAGCATCTGTGACATTAACTACTACACGTGTGTATGTCACGTACTCGATTTGCCCACGGGTTTGACTATACTTTAAATTATAACGCACGTGTGACCATACCTTTGTCTTACGTTGTGATTTGCGATGGGACTTCCCGTTGGACCCTCCCGGAATCCGGATAGAAGAGTCGATACTAATAGATATTTCGCAATTTAATTCCATGGGCATCTGTCCGGTATATATTTTTGGAAGAAAAAAAAAATACGTATAACACTATGGAGAGCAGCTCGCGTAGATGGGAAGAGGTATGTAGGCACTCTAGATGTAGTTAAGAGGTGGTGGGGGAGGTATATTTGGTAAGAAGGTACATGTAGGCCTAGCCTTGTATACCGAGATGGGCCGAGTGAGATATGTGCGACTGCGCGGCGAGCTAATCAATTCCATCCGATCTGGCATTTCCACAATTATTGATTTGACATGATGCTAGCGCACTTAGAATATATCTGAGAAGTCTTTTATTTAACCTTTTGGCCTGTAACCCACGTTTTTTTTGTTTGTCCACACCTCTACCTTACCGACCCATCTCCCTCTCCCACGTTCCCAAATGCAAGTAAGGCAGTCATCCGAAGGAAACATACAGGAAAAAGGCTATATACAGTAAATAACAAACCAAAAAGAAAACTCCCTCCTTTTGTCCACGCGCTTTTTAGAAATTAAAAAAAAAAAAAAAAAAAAGAGGAAGGAAAGGAAAGGAAAGCCAAGTAGAGTAGAGTTGAGAAAAGAAACCTGGACCCAATAAGAAAACCAAAGTGCCGATACCTAGATTTTTACCCCGACCAATGATGAAACAAAGGGGAAAAGATTGAATATATGCCAATAACCTCTCGCATTTTCTCTCATCGTTCCATTGATGCTGCGCTGCAGGTAAATTATCTGAAAGGGGGGAAAAAGAAAGAAAAAATCATAAAATCATAACCAAAAAGCCAAACCAAAAAGCAAAAGCCACCGATGTACTCCAAACCGTTATGAAACATTATAAACCGTAGAAAACCCCGCCATGCCGTTTTTATGTGCGTCTTTTTTTCTTCCCCTTTTATATCATCAAATACTCAGCATCCTCGTGACCCGTGACCTTCCTCCACCTCAAACCTCTCCCGCCCACACTCGGGCTGATATTCCCCATTCTCTTTGCTCCAGCAAACATTCCATTTCCCTGATGACCTCGGTCCTCCTCAATGATATCTTCTCTCCATATTTTCTCTAACACATCAAGACCAGAAACTTTGTTGAAGAAACCACATTCACGCTGCATCTCCACACATCGTTCCCTGATCATGTTTCTATGAGCATCTACGACACACTCTGTTCCAGTGATAAAAAGAGGCCAGAGGAGTCTGTGACCAAGCCTAGAGTTAGAGATGCAGTTGACATGATCAAGAACCTCTCTGACTGTATTTTGAAATATAGAGTGCGACGAAGGGAGATGTGGATAGGCAAGTCGATCGATATACAAAATGGCTGCGTAGCGGTAAACATTAGACGCATGCAGCCAATGATTAATCTCGACAGCTTCGTGTGCCTTAGATGACTTTCTTCTCGGACTTCCAGCCGATGGTGGTGGTGGTGGGGACATTGAGTAACTGGATGAAGTGGGTGAAGGAATCGGTACTTCCAAAGGCCTTGAGGGGCTGGCTTCTTTTGACGAGTGGCGTGAGGGTGTGGCTGCATAGATAGCTGTGGGTCTCCATTCGCAAAGATCTTTCTTTATAGCGTTCCAGGCCAACCAAAATTCATCTCTTCCATCATTCTCATCTCTGAAAGGCTCGGTGATCCCATCATCCTCTTCCATATTTCTGCCATGGCTGTCACTGGCAACCGTTGGCATCTGACTCAACATGTTGATTCTTCCCAGTCCAGCCAATCGCATAAACAACTCCCTGTCACAGCCTGTCAAACTTTCCAGGTCCCAGTCATCGTTTGATGAAAAGATCATGTCGAGGTATCCGCCTCTTAATTGCGCCTCTCTGTTGTTGATTGAAGCGCTCATGTTGTCAAGCCAAGTAAACACAGTTTCCATCCAGCCCCAGATTCCCGTCTCCTTTCCAACACATCTCATTCCCATCAGTTTTTTAACTCCCGCAAGATGTGTCTTAAACTGCCCGACACCTGTCTCACTGATGTGATAAAACAACAAGATCAATAGAGTGGCCATCGCCGAGTCTGACTTCGCAAGTTCAGGAATAGTAAGTTGTGCATTGAGAAGATGAATGGAGTTGTTCTTATGACTGAGTGCAGTGGCAGACTTCTCCTTTACCACTGGAGCAACGGCAGACAGTAAATGTAGTCCCTGATGAGAATCAGGAAATGATTGATGGCCTGGAGAGACAGGAGACGAAGGCGAATGAGAGTGCATGGGAGAAACGCTTTTCGGAGAATCTGTGCTGGTTCTTCTTTCGAGTGAGAGTGCGCCTTTCTTTTTTGAATCCAAATGACTGGTAGAAAGGGCATAAATTGCCTCCATAAGAGCTTCGTTCTTGAATGCCATTGGAAGTATTTGTTGTCTATATGGATTACCAGGACCGTCAAAGGCAACCATTGCGGCACAGACTGTTTTATCATAATATTCGATGAGGAAATGAAGTTTTGGAGAAATATTCGCCAACTCAGGAGGAGGAAATTGCACCGACATAGGGGAAATAGAAATTGAAAAAGACTGGTTGGTTGGAGTTGGGGAATTCGAAGTTTGGAATGAAGATGCGTTATAAGAAAATTCAGGGCCACGAGTAACTGAAGAACAAAACCCATCCGGTTAGTAACAATTATGGAGATTTGAAAGAGAGGGAGGGGTATGTAAAAATGGAGGGGGAAGTGTACACTTCGCTTGAGTTCAATAAAATAATAAAAAAGGAAAATCACAAGACACAAAAACGCTTTAGAACGTACCAAGCATATCATCATCGTACAACAAGTCTGACAGGTTACCTGTTCCCGCTTGTACATGTTGTTGATGAAGATTGCCCATCCCGCTGACTCCATTCCACGATCCGCTGTGATGGGGGTGTTGGTTATGATTTTGGTGTATATGATCACTATCCATCATTCGGGAAGATGTTTGCATGATTGGTGCAGTCATAGGGGCATAAGAAACGCCAGATGAAGTGACAGTCATTGAACTTGTGGGGTGGTAAGTAGAGCTTGAAACACCAGTGACCATGTCATACAAAGGAGCAGTTGTTGGTGCAGAAGACATGGGGTAGTGCTGCGAAGAGGGGAAACTAGGTTCATATTCGGACATGGGAGATAAAAGTAGCGATGGAGTTGTTTGGTGTGGAGGAAGTGATACATGCGAATATGGTGACTTGTGATAGTGCTGAATTGGTGCCTGGTACTGCTGCTGTTGGGGTGAAATATGCGAGTGATACTGCTGCTGAGGATTTGAAGAATATGGGGAGTACGAGGAAGGATTAGGCGATTTCCGTGCTTGGCTTAATCTCTGAGACGGGATGCTAGACTGGGAGATTGCGGACAGAGCTGGACTTGTCCCAGCAGTGCTGGCAGAAAGAGCAGAACTGGCTCTGGAGCTAGAACTTGATGGAACCTCCATATTGACGAAGTCGTAACTGGTGATAATGCTTAATTTGCCCACACCAGTATTACGCTGACTATCGTAATCATGTGGATTGCTCTCGGGGGCCTTGGACTTCTTTGGCTTTGCACCGCTTCCATTTGTGGATTTGTCCTCAGACTTCTTCTTGACAATCTTTTGAGTGTTCTTGCTGTCAACAGCAAGGTTCACAATAGGCAAATGCAGTCCTCGAAGCTTCCCACGACTGGCAACGCCAACTCCCCAAGTGAGTTGAGTTCTGTAACCTCTGCAATCATTCCCAACTTCGAGGCATGGACCGCAGTAAGGCCGACGGCGATCACATTTGATACCGTTTGCCCTGCAGGTGAAGCAATCCTCTGCAGCACCAGTGGCTGGAGCTCTGCGGCGGCGCTTTTTGGTGGGAGAAGTAGGGCTAGCGAGTGACGGGGGCATGGAGACAACTGTGGGTTGAGAAAGCATTGCAGTCGACATTTTGAAAAATGATTATTGTTGAAATAAGGAATAGTTCGAGGAAGTTATCTGTGGCTGATTCCTGTTTGGTGGGAGGTCTTTATATATATTTCCTTGTGGGGGCAAATGGCAAGGACGGTGGTAATCAAGAAATAAGAGAATCCTTGGCTTTTGGGAGGGTGGGGGACGTAATTGGCTGGAGGGGAGCAAATTACAGGCAGGATTTGAATATCGGATGGTTCAAGTGAAGGTATCAGCAGCCCATAGCTCGACTTGCACGTCTTTCTCAGCTTTTCTTTTTAGATGGATGAGGGGAAGTTTGATTGGTGTTTGAGATTGTTTGTGCAGTGGCGATTGAGTTATAGATGAGCGAGATTGATAGAGATGTATAGACAAAACGAATGGGATGGATGTGGAGCCTGATCAAATAGGGATAGAAGTGAAAATAAAAGAGCGGCAAGAGACGGGCAATAAGATCTATATGTAGATTTGGGAGGAAGATGAGGGGGAGGGGGAAGTAAAAGACAAAAGGGAGTAGCAGGAATAGCAGCAGGAGGAGGAAGATGAGGGTGTGGAGTGAGAACCACACTACTATGAGAAGTTACCAGGGAAAAGAAAGACGAGAAGAGAAACTAGGCCTGTCAGGCGCAAGGTGGAGGTAGTTAGACGGAAAGCTAGGTACTATGTAGGGTCCTAACCGTGCAGTGAGCGCAAGAGTTTCGCCGAAAGACGAGATCACAGTGGGACACACGGCGAGCACTAGGAGCATGTATTTTAGTCACAAGTGCTGTGGGTCCTGGTCATTTTTACCCCCGGATTTATTTGGACCCGCCGTGGACAAAGCGACAAGCATGCACCGGCGGCGACACAGGGACAGCTACAAAGATACATGCCCAGGCTGTCATATTGGTAGAGTAAAGTAATACCTAGACTTGCGGGACCAAGACATATTATTATGTCTCGAGTTGTCATGATGCAACTGAAGCGCCAGCTTAACCGGAGAGAAACAGCACAATCAGCGGAGAAAGGAACTTAACTGATGTTGTAACATACATTCGCTCATGGCCGGCGCCGTCCTTGCGAATCTTTGGACCACTGTTACATCCACATCTCAGATCGACTCGCCGAGGCCCTTCGACTTAGTCTGACCAGGGGTAAAATCGAGGAAAGGGTGAGGGAGTGAGCAGTGCTTGTCCAGTGCCACACAGGTACACAGTTCAGGCTACTGCTTGATTGCCTGCTGCTGCTGCCGCTGCCGCTGGTGAAATGGGGGATGGATATGATGGTGGGGACTGGGGTTAGAAGACAGATGAGACAAGCGGCGGCTGTTCCCTGCTGCTGCTCGTGATGTCCTTGGCATCATCATCCCCTGTCCAATCAATCATAAGAAAATTATCAACATCGCCAAGAGTAGAAATTCTCAAGAAAAACAGCCTCCCCAGTTATCCCCAAACACTTCTCGGTAGGGATGCGCGACCCTCTGGCCATGGAACGTTCCTGGTCCCTGCCGCTATGCTGCACAACTCTCCACACCTTCTACTCTAAACCCCCAGGGGAGGGGGGGGGGGGGAGTGTGTTAACTGGGGCCAAAAAAAAAAAAGCCGTTGTCAACGTCTTGTCTATCCGCATGCATACTGAGCACGACACCAGGCTGTCTCGGGAGTGGCTTCATGGTCCAGGGCACTGACGAATGGGAAAATCAGATGCATGAGACACCGAGGCTTCGAGGGCGGGGATCAACAGAATGTTCTGCAAGAGTTCCAGAGACGCTGCGGGGACAAGCTGTGGCTCCTCCAAAAGAGAGATCACAATTATATCGTGGTAAAAAGCAAATAAAAAACATTGCCACAATGCTACTTGCTGGATTGGATAAGAAAAATACAAGAAGCCCATGATCTACATCTACGCAATCAACGATCGATCAAGGCTTCCTGAACAGCACGCTGCAACTTACCATGATCCCCTTCACTGGGTCTCCAATCAATTAAAACGTTATTCTATCAACGATCAATGAGCTAAACGATGGTGTGCCAAAAATACACCTTATAAATATCGGTAATATTTTCAAGCTGATGCACTTGTATCTGTATGTATGTACCTGCAACCGAATAATGGCGCACGTGTACCATAACTCGAGGTGCGCGAGTGCGAGACCACGATAGACCCTTTCATTAAACACAGGACTAATACGTAAAACCCGATCATACCTGCGATTCAGGCTGTATTAATAGCTTAATGAACTTACAGATGAACCCCCGCCGTCTGCCGGAGCCCTTAGGACTCTCCTTTACCCCAGATCGAAATTCCAGATAATCAAAACACCGACATCTTTTCGGAGTCGACCCAATGCCGAACCAAGCCAGCAAGAAATGCAATGCACTACACTAACAGTGCAAACGAAGCATAAGCATATGCCCACTGCATTTGCTGTCATCATAGATTATATAGTTAGCCACACCAACATCATGATTGTCCGTTTCTCCTCACAAATTACTACATGGCCGAAGGCTTCTGCCCCCACACACAACATAAAAATGTCCGTGGCTGACCGATTTTTAACCCCCCCCCCCCCCCCCACTTCCACCGCTCGTGTCCCGGCCGGAGGAGGAGGGTCTTGACCCGGCACAGTGGGCTTGTCGGTCACAGCATCGGACATACTTTCAACTTCCCGCTTCCCCTTACACCCATCCATCCTTGAACGATTTTTTTTCTCGGCGCAGTCAATTGCACCCCGGCAGCGTCCCGGTTTTCTTAAACACCTAAACCAGGCCACACGATGATCATCAAGCCCCTGAGCCTGTATATGTATTTGACCTCAGCTCTTCACAACTGATCCTGCCGAAAGAAAAGCTTAGATCAGTATTCGCAATCATTGCCAAATCCAACTGTATCAGGCTAGATATACAACTAAACAAAGCACGAAAAATCCTTTCCATCTTCTCAATACTACGTATTGAAAACATCCCATATCTCACGTGCCGTCTGTGGGTACCAGTGCTACATTGTCAAACACCACAAACAACTAAACGTGCTGGCTAGCGGGGGTGACACGACCGTCAGTGGGGAATTTCGCAGGCTCTACCTGTCTCGGAGGAGATTCCGTTAATATGACTGGTCGAGGGGTAATCTAAGTCATATTGAACCTAGTATGAATTGGGAATTAAGGTTATTGATGCCCCGGGGCTGGAAATATATGTGGTATCGCAAGTCATAGCGTGGACTAAACAAGATCTTTAGTGGCACGACACTGAGGACTTACAGTTATCGAGTCAGTTATAGTATTTACTTGAGCATTTTGACTATATAACGCCAGTATTACATTTAGTACTTCTCTAATATTTAGACCGTCAATCTATCCTAGGTTGAAGCTCAAGTCATCAAATAAGAAGCGCAAGTCTAGATATGTACGCATTAATTCTACATCGGAAGACAAGGTTTCCGGGACTAATCTTCGAACCCAACTCCGAGCACAGAGACTGTCGCCGGTAACTACATAACACTTGGTGTTTTGATTGCAGTGGAAAGGCATGATCACGGCTATCCATGCTGTATTTCCCAGCGGGGTAGCCGTTGCAAAACGCTAATAACCCCAGCGAAGTTTTTCCGAGCTTTGGTAGAGCATGCATAGCATGGGTGTGGTTCTCAAAAACTAAAATCTCTAGATATCACAAAACGCCAACCAAAGCCAAGCGAACCCCGCAGACTGACTTGTTTTTCTCCCGCATCATAATCAATGATTCAATTCATTACCTAACACCATACGGAATCTCGGCGGGCGGTATCTGATGAGCTTCATCTGACCTACATACATATGTATGGTACATAGATTATCACCCGCAGCATGGAGCTTCTTCCAAACTTCCAGGAACATAATTCCCCTCCTTTATAACCCGACAGAACAGTCAAAACGATACTGTATAAGGCATAGAAACGATTACTGATATTTATCTATTAATTTGATACGATAATCTTTATAACGCAGCGTTTTTCACCGTTATCAGACGGCCTAGCTAGGTAGTTAGCTACTGACTTGACCTCCCAGATTTATTAAAACCCCATTCTTGTGTAGTATCAAGAAAGCCATCAGCCACATGGTCAATGATACCGGTCTTAATTTAGATATCTTTTGTCTGTGACTTTCAAATGTCAATGAAATAATGGCAATCAGCTCAGACAACATTTGCATAATCTGCCTCGAACTTATCAGTACATTATCCACTCGCACCAGCGTCTGCGGCACGTAATTGCTTCTTGAATTTTCCCTGACGGCGCTCTGTTAACCCTCGTTCCTTGCATACTCCGCCGAACTATCACACCAACTATATCTCATCAACTATATCTCATAAAGCACTTAGGGTTAACACCAGTTTGTGTTCCGGGAACCGTAGAGCGAGTTCGCACTTCGAGAGAACTAACGTGCAGGCGTTAGTGCTTATTTTCTTTTAGCAGACTTAAACTCTACTATTTCTTGGCAGCCCAGGAACCAATTGCTTCTAAGCTGGCCACGGAATCATTGCTTGAGCACGCTAGGTAACGATGAACTGAGGAATCTCAAGTACTAGTAGGGTCCTTGCAAATTTAAAAAAAAAAAAAAAAAAAAGGAGAATTAACATCTTTGTTCTTGGGATAGTCAGTGATAAAACAGGGACTACATACATAGTCACTCTGCTCTCTACTCTATGTGCATACATAACTGTATGGTCTAGAATACACCTCAGACGCACACGTGGAGGACTTTCTCCCTCAAAACATAGCAATAGAAGGAAGGGAAAGAAAAAGAAAGATTAAGTGTCCCGGTGTATACCGAGATCAGAGACTGATTGCTTCCCCTGGTTTTCAAAAGAAAAGAAAGGCGGGAAAACAAAATACAACCCCTAATTAATTAAAATATGTAGGTAGTCTGAGTGTATGGACGCTGTGCGGTTTTTGGAGGTATGTCATATCGAATTCCCGCGATAAGCTTTTTACCTTTACCATCCTTGAGTATGTAGTTACCTTGCGCACCTGCCTGAGCCCTGGAC